CCAGTATATTGACGACGAATTTCACCATTTAAAACGGGTACTGGAAAACAATGGATACAACTGGCGTCAATGTACTCGACTTGCGAGCAGCTAGAGTAGGAAACGACCGGCGGTTGCGGACCGGACTCCAGCATTCTTACCATACGTGAAAGGAGTAACCGACAGAATCGGACACCTGCAGCGCCGTAAATACTGCATCAGGACGATCTTCCGCCCACCCGGTCAGCTAAGGCAACTACTACGCTCACCTAAAGATAAGGATCCGCTGGCTGTGCCCGGAGTGTACATAATACCGTGCGACTGTGGCTCGAGTTACATCGGGGAAACTCGTCGCAACATCACAACCAGGCTAAAGGAACATATACGCAGCGTGAAGAAGATGGATATCCAGGCAACGACAGTGATTGAACATGTTTCGGTACGGACGCGGCTCACTTCATACGGTTTGATAAGGTCTCCGTACTAGCGGAGGAAAAATACTTCGTTCCGCGAAAAATGCGAGAGGCCATCGAGATTATCTGACGTCCGTGCTGGCGTGCTTCAACAAAGTTGGTGGCTGGGTACTGCCACCATCTTGGAAGCCGAGCTTGAAGTCTACGTCGATCCGCAGCGTCTCTAGTCTGGAGTGTGACACAGTAAGCGTTATATGTAGCACTGACTTTGTGCCGAACCCGGAATCGAACCCACTCCCCGCGCCGCTGGTGAACGTACCGTGCGCTTCAACATCGTCCGGCGCGCCGCCGCCGGAGTTGGGGGCAAACGCTCGTGGTGTCCGGCAGAGGGGGCGTCGGGCTCGCAGCGCAAGCAGCCACACCGAGGCAAGCGCCAACGCTGGCCAGTAGGCTGCGCGACATCGCCGCGACCGCCCACGCTGCTCATGAGGAAGAACCCCTCTGTGGTTCGAAACTAGTACAGCTTTTCTCAGTATATTCACGTGAGTAACCCGCGATTTTTAGTTAATTTAGTATGTCTCACGATAGTTATTATAAAAACAATGAATATTACATTTAAATGTAAGTATTGAAAACTTAAACCACACTTGACGGAAATTACAGCTGTATTTTTGTGTCGTGGTGTCAGGTGGTGCCTACGAATGTGAGCAGTGAAGGAGAGCGAGACAAGTTCAAGTGTCTGTACCTGCTCGTCGAGACCGCCGTCGCAGTGCGCCAAAGGGAGAAGGAAGCGGAGGAGGTCCCCGTCTAGTGACCGAGGTAAATACTTTATTGCCTTATGACATAAAAAGCAGCGCTTTTCTATACAGTCTATATTTTCTAAACTGATTTGATTTATTATTTGTTTGCATTTATTACTTTTAATATTTGACTGCATGGTTGGCGCGGTGGCTGGACAATCGTGCAACGTGTCGCGGGTTCGATTACCGCACGGAAAAACTCTTTGTGTGATCTACAGATTTTTATTCCGGGTCTGGATGTCATGTGTATTTTTGCAAACGCACTCACGACATAGGAGAAAAACACAGTGAGGGGCAACGTCTTTCTTTTAAAAAAAAATGTTAAGTGTGTTTCGAAATTTAATATATGCGCATCTGTAAACCCTTTCGGGAATTAAAAGGCATGACGTTGTTTGTGTCTTAAATAACAAGAGCAAGGTAAATATTTGGACATTGTTACAGGTATCGGTATGGAGTGGACTCGGCAGCACCGCCAAACGGAATTGTACGTTCAGCACGCGGTATTTAACGTTACAATCTTCCACTAATGTAGAGTTTACAAGTCGTTCGTGTGTTTATCACTAATTTATGGCCCTCGGTAACTTCTATCCAAGGTACCCTTACCCGTAACTCGTATATAGTACTTTGATTTGACATAGTTAATTTTGTACCTACGTGCAATAGGCCACTATCTTGTCGGCCCTAAACTTTAGCTGAAATCCAAACCACATGCAATTTTAATAAAATACATATTCCAACGAATTGTGAACCTCATATTTTTATTTTGGAATTTAAAATATCATGCGCAACGATGTCGTTACTTTGCGCAAAGGTTGCGCATGTTTCGTTTTATTGACAGAAATGACGGAATAATCTTCGGATTGTCGTTATTTTTTTGTATATAATTTAAATTTTAGTTTTTAAAAAGTGACCAGGCCCGACTAGATCGCATTAGTATGACCAAGTTGAAGGTTGAAGGGATGTTCGTATTATTTTTATATGTATATCAGTAGGTAGATTAAAAAAAATGGGAATAGATTACTGCCACTGTTGTGCACATAATGCGTCTTGAATCTGATCAATGTAACCGATCGTAGCCTATGTATACTCTAGTAGTTTAAATATATTATTATACACTTACAAGCTCTGGTAGTGCTCGTTTTATAATAGAACGCTTTTTAATAGAATCGCTATCTTATTTTAAAAAACAAATCAATTTCCTGGTTGAATCAGAAATAGAATCAAGAAAAACAATATTCCCTATCTCATCATTAGGATTATGTTTGCTAAATTAATATAAGATCATGAAGTTTAACATAATAATTATGTTAAATTTGCTTCGCCTTTTAGGACATGTTTTTATTTTTTAATTTTATAACTTTCTGTAATGTTACAGCTTCAGCTATTTAAGCCTAAGGCATTTAGTTAACCGACACCAATTTACTGTATGTGCAATAAAAAACAATACAACAAAGGTTTTAGTATATATTGTAGGTAGGTTACTATTTAAAAAAATGTCATCGATTTATTTACAAGCAACTTTATGCGCTCTATAAGATAATAATATAGATATTTATTTGTATTTTTTATTCTATTTGAGAAAATTATAAAAAAGTGCACTATCAAAGCTAAATTATGATACATACATATACACTGTTAACATATTTTTGTAGAATACATGATATATCAGTAGTCTTCTCAAATTTTATAATTAGAGTGACAGACTGGTTATAAAAAAAAGTATTTACTCTGCTTGTCTCGTTCCTATCAAATAATATAAATGTATGATAAACTCTTGAATTGATATAATATGAATACATATGGGGATTTAATATAGTCATCCCGCTAATATTACAAACACGTATAAAAATCTCATTTCATTAAATATAATTACGCCTTTACGGCAAAAAAAAACTATTTTGCATTAGAATGTAGACTTCTTGTTGGAAAACTGTAATAACAGCTATAGGAAACATCCTAAAGTTGCTACCATTTGACTAAAATAAATCATTTTTTTTTTATTGTTCTCAGGCATTTAATCGACATCGTCATATCAGCCAGTTTATTTAAATTAAATGTGGTCACGCGTTTTCTTCAACATTTTATCGGTACAGGCCTGGACGAAAACTTTCGACTTTTTAACTAATTTAGATGCAACACGTCGCAACGTGTATAAGACACATTATCACAGTGAAGCTACCCTCTCCATACAGTACTGTAATGCCCTGAAATAGTTCCACTATTCCCGCAATATTCATTCATATTGAATGCCATGTCCCTAGTTGTATGCAGTTCAGGATATCTTCCACTGTGTTCGCCCACTCCCCACGTTTTACGATATATTCGTAGGACCAGAGGACCTAGTACGAGTTTGTTTTACATTTATAGTAATCGAAACGAAACTGCGTTCCGCGCTCTGATTGGCCGGCTCCAATGAACCAACCAATCAGAGCGCCGAATGCAGTTTCGTTAATAAAACGTACTACGCCCTCCAGTAATCGACTGTATGGAGTTGTAGATTGCAATAATTATATTCGTATATTAAACTCATGTCCTTGTATATAGTATGTACACATACATAGTGTATGTTAGGTCTAAAGTTTTGTAGCTTCTAGTTAAATGTTAGTGCCAATGAGGCAATCCTATATTGTAACATCTCAGGATAATTTCGATGATAATTTATTCAAGGGTGAAGACGTCCACAAAATTTAGGCGAGCAAGTATCATAGAGGTTGAAATTTAGCACTAGAGTTATCAGCACTAAATTGCGGGATTCACCCTGTATTCGTCAATAAATTGTCAAGGTAAATTATCCCAGTTATTGTGTTATTTTTCTATCGATACTTATAATATACCTATCAACTTAAGCAAAAGCTTTAAAAGGTAGTCGAAACACATAATTAAAATTAATATTTTTCATATAATAACAAATGTACTAGATGAGGAAGTTGTTGTATTTATCTGAAAGTACCTACGTGAGCTATCTAATGTGTCCTGAATGTATCCTCCATATAGTAAATCGTTTTCAATGTAACAGCATTATAAATTAATCTACAATAATTATGTTTGGATCCATCTTAGAACTGCATTACACTTAACAATGTTTATCATTTTAATATCTATTCTCATAAGTCACAAGTGATAGTGATATTTCTCAATGATTATTATGGTTCATTTTCCTATAAACATATTTCAAGTGTAGTGGAGTTCTATATAAAATTGTTTGTATTTATTTATTGGTTGTGAATTTGGGGCGTCGCTGTGTGAATCGGATGTTGTATGTATTTCTTAAGGCCTATTTTTAATTTATTTTGATGGACATATTGAACTAAACACATGATCATTGAGAATGATTTCAATCATTGTTCTGTTAGGGTGGTAAAAGGAGAATGCTAATACATTACTGTTTGCTTTAAAACAAGCCTGGGGGCGAATTCTCGGTTTTAGAGATAGTGTCGAACTCGACAAAAATTTCTAATTACGTAATTTTTTCGACAAATTTTAAGTTTCTATTCTGGGAATGTCTAATTTGACATTTGTCGAAGCCTAACGTTACAGTTCTTGTCGAGTGCTTCTGAGCAGTAGAAATGTCATATCGATTGTAGAGATCGTCATTTCTGAGTGAATGTGTTGAGTTTAGGATTGTACAGTGCTTTCTTTTCTTTTGTTTTTAAATAAAATATGGCTTGACATCTCATAACTACTGAAAATTCGATAATTATACTCTTTAATTTTTGCATTGTATTTTCTTGAAACAACTGAATTATTACTACTAAAACTATTTATCTCGAAAATTGAATGTTTTCACTGTCAAACTGATAATTTTTACTTTAAACGTTTTGTTTTAAACTTAAATATAGTCAGCGTTTTAAAACAATTCATTAATTCCCTCATAGCTACCTAAAACGGAACGTGCGATTCTTCATAATGGTAATATTATCTTCACTCGATTCGACATTTTCGTAACATTTATTTCTATTTTAACTGAGAATACGGAATTCTGCTCAATTCCACTTTTTTGGTAGATATAGAGATATTTTTAATAGACATAGAGATAGATTTACAATCTCGAACTCGAAATGAATGGCGAAAATCGAGAATTGGCCCCTGATTAGACTTGCTTTAGATCAAATAATGTTACTTCAATGTGTCTATTAAAGTATGAGTTACGGCTTCAATAGCTGGCGACGAATTAAATGTAAAAGGTATGGGGATAATACAAAACTTTTGTTAATCAATTTTATTGAACATTGATTTATCAGACAAGCTAAGCCCGAGTGACAAGTTTCGTTCGAGATGTAATCATTTTGCTGATAACTCGCTGTTACAGAGGTAAAAGTACCTCCTAATTTTAATTATTTACGACATTGAATATTTGTTCAAATGACCTTCCTCAAATGTTATGAGAATTCATTAGTTTAATGTTACTATGATACCTGTTATGGTACCCGTCGGCCAGCCTGATGCACTTAACGTTAGCAGTCAATGTTAATTAGCTCTTAAGTCGTTTGTTTTAAGGTGACTTTTCGTTTTAACTCTTTATATGTAAGTAGGGTGTCATTTTCGTTTCTTAATTTACCTGAGTACAATAACTTAGAACTTAGTATTTTTCGTTCATGTAAATACTCCTGTGTAAGATGCGTAATCTGTTAGTGAATAAAATAAAAGATTTCAAAAAATTTCGTTTCGTTTTGCAACCACTTCTAATTTTTTTTTAGCACAAGTAAGTAATGTGAATGGAGCAGAAATTGTAGTATCAAGTTCATACTACAGAGAAATGAAAACGATTCTTATATTGATATTAATAATTTATTTTAATGACAAATAATAACTCTATAAATTAATAAGAAATAACTAAAAATACCAATCAAAGCAAGCAATTTATAAATTAATTGATATTGATTACGATCTAACATTAAGGCCAGCAGGTAAACCTACACCTGTGACTTGTTTACTAGATTTTCAACTTTATAGTTTTGATATAAAGTAAAAAATCAGCTGAGAATAGGTTTTCCTGCTGGCCTATGTACCTGTAATAAAAATAAATTAATCAGTTTCCAATAATATCCAACTTGTTGATGGAGCTGTTCCGTCGCTTGGCTGAGCTGGTGTCTGGCCCGGGGGACTTTCTCTTGCCTGGTTCCTCGCCTGTGGCCTCAATCATTATGTCCTGCGTCGGTATTTCCATCAGTAGGTGATCAAAACTGCTGCTGTTTCTACTCAACTCTTGTTTCTCATCTGCAGACAATATCAGCCGTCAAATGTAGTTTAAACATATAAAGAAAATCTTACACACGTCTCCATCAACCGCTCCTAACTTTTAATGAACCCCTGGGTAAGGAAGGGGACATCGACATCTTACTTTTTACCTACTTACAACACTTAACAGTACAAGTAAGGCGTTAGTTTAAGTGCTACATCACGCTTAGTGACTTTTAGTTAAGAGGTGGTTTAGGGGTGTGGTTGGTATAAAAACGGCCATTACTTTTTAGGGACTAACATAACCCGGTCTCTTTTATTGAATGATATTCCTACATGGTCGGGAGCTACAGAGAGATCTTTTAAATTCAAAGCAGATGAAACTGCAGACGAGAAGCAAGAATTCAATAGACACCATCACAATATTCTTTATTACTGGCTTGAAATTAGGTACTGAAGGCAATTGATACCTACACTATGTGCAAATGTGATTAAATGCTAGGTCAAACGAGTCTTCATTTATGTCTTAGAAATATTATTTAGTAGGTATGGTTAATATAGTTTCAGAAGGTAGTGATTTAGGTTCATCTATTCCTAGATTCATTCCTTCCTAAATAACCCATGCCATAGCTAGCAAGTTAGTGCATACATACTATTTGGATTACATATTTAACCCACCACCTAAAGTGATAAGTGAGAAAGGAAAATAATTAAGAAAATAATTTAAAGAAAAATCATTTAATAAAAAAAGCAAACTTATAAAACAACGTTTTTGTCTATTACAAGAAATTAAATGAAAATCAGAAATAAAAACATAAACAAAAATGAAAAAAAATTACCTACCTACTTACAACATCCTATACTTATTCATACCCAAGTATTTTATGGTAAAGTATAATAATAATTATTAGAGATGACAGCTATTTTTTTGCTCGTTATCTTAGATAAATCTCACTTGAATGTTCTTGCTCTACATATAGTTGGGCCCTGGATCGCTTAGAAGTAAATAATGTTGATTCTAACCGAGTCCTTGTTGCTTCATCAACTGTTTCTGCCTAAACTCCTCTTGTGCGAGTCTCTGGCGCCGCTTTCGCTCCGCCCTCGCTTCTTCCTCGCTAAGCCCCTCCAGGCCGTTTTTTAGTGGCTCCTGTTCAACAATCATTCTCGATGAGAACTGTTACTGCCCGCTATTTCCTTACAATATACTATTTAGGTACTTCAATCATAATTATAATTTGATGTTGATATTTGTTGATAACAATATTGTTAGGATGATTAAACTATATAGTTTAGGATGTCTAAGACCAATCAAAGAGATAGTAGAACAAAAAGGTAAAATAAAATTAAAACCATTTTCAATCAAACATTGTATTAATTCAAACAATTTTATTTCAATAAAAACAATTATTATTTACCATGTAGCTATAACTACACAGTAAACTACATACATATATTTATGTACATTCGCAATTCCATTTATTTTTTACCTAACTATGTAACAAGGTCAAAACCCAATTCCTAAAGTAATCATAAGAGGAAAATATTCAAGTGTCGTAATTTTAATACCGCAGAGTAAAAAATCTATTCGATTTAAAAATATTTCGAATTTTGTATACATTTCAATATACACTGCGAGCACTGCGCAGTAGTCTTACTGCTGCAAGATCAGTTCCGTTATGGACTACAAATTTACTGCTGCAGTACGCTCGGTCTATCATAAATCGCCGCCATATTTGTAGGTTTAAGCACTGGAGATTTAGAGGTAAGGTGTTCGTTCGGAGTGCTTTTTATCGCGCGATCAGTTGAAATGGCAGAATGCGCGATAAATTCAAATAATACTTTTTATTAAAATTGAAAACAAATAAGAAGAATAGTTTCTTACAAGATTTAAACAAGTTTATAAGAAGAGTTTATTACTAATTAGTTTATTTTTAAAGAGAATGAAACGAGTCAGTAAAACGGCGTCGAAAAACGATAATAACAGTTTACTGGACTAAGGTCCGTTTTAAAAATGCACTTGTGTAACTGGCTATAAAGGAACGGACGTACAGTATACTGAATTGACGTCGTCATACTCTACAATGGTCGCAGTGTATATCGGAACATACCCCTAATCAACCATCACACAAGTATAAAAATGCTGCTGGTGCACGAGCATGGATGCTACTCTCGGAAATATACTAAATAGTAAATAGAAGCAAACATTCAACACACTAGAATCACTAGATCACCGACTTCTGACAACGAAGTGGCCGACAACAGCGCCTGACCATCCACAACACTTACAACTACATACAACGAGGAAAAATTACATAAAAAATAGTTCACCATTTTTGAGATTTCAAACTTACCAATATACTAACATCCTATAATACATTTACTATTCTCAAAACTACTGCAATACTCGTATGAGCTGTGTGGCAAAAAACTTCCACAAGTGTATAAGAATAACTCGCTGATAAATTAATAATGGCTAGTGCGCCGGCTACGCCGCGGCGGTGACTGAGAGACGACGACCGGCTTCTACGACTTGTCAGGCGACGATGACGATGCTGCGCTCGCATCCTCGGGGAACTGCTTCTCCACCTGCTCTGCCACCCATTTTTTTACTTTCTGTTCTGTCCAGAAACCGTCGTAAAAGATAGTGGGTTTGATCCAACACCCCTGGGCAGGAGGTGGCGGAGCGAACGTAACATCATCAGGAGGACGACACGCGCCTCGCCCATTCACTACCAGGTTTTTTGGTGGCAGGTTGAAGTTAAGGTTCACATTACCGGGAGGGCGCTCATAGCTCTCGTAAGCGAAGTGCCAGCCTCCTCCACCGGGATACTCGTAGTACGCGTTAGGAAACACATGTGGAGCGGCCGGGCCACCTACTCGGGGAGTTCCGTACATCGGCTGCACGCCGTAGCCACCCAACGCACCCACAACAGGTTGCAGCACAAAACTTACGTTAGAATTGGGGCGCGGATGAGCAGGCTGTGGAGCTGGTCCTGGTGGAGGCACTGCGGGGCCTGGCGCAGGCCGACCGGGGCCCACTGGCGGCACGCGGTTAGCAGGGGGCATACTTGTCGGGAGAACTCGTGCACTCGAGGGAGCGTTCTTCACAGCGGGCGGAGGTACGAGCGGCCCGTTCTGTACAGGCGGCGGGACGGCCGACGCGTGCGGAGAGCGCAATGTGGGGTGATTTGTGCCACTATCGCTCGAGTCCTTGCGAGCTGCTCGGTCAAGTGTCATGTTCTTAGGTTCTATTTGTTTGTTGGCCACATTTTGGTTGTTCTCATTGAGGGGCTCTGGTGCATTTGCTGGTGCATCAGCTCTAGTTGACTCTAGTAACTCCGTCAGGTCTGAAGCCACACTGCCACCGAAGCTTAATAAGGTCTCACGCAATGCATTTGTCACTGCACACTGCAATAGTATAATCACATTCAAAATATAATAAGATCACAGGAAAAGCAAGTAGGTTAAATGAAACAATAATAAAAGTATACCTTTCTTGATTTATAGATAGCAAATCCTTTAGTGTTAGCAGTGGTGGTAGCATATCCAATATTTTCTCTGTGTATATCAAAACTCTTAACTGTTATAGATACAAATGCTACCACTCCTGCACAGTACCTCCCATTTGTGAAGTCCACAAAATCTAAAACAGTACAAATAAAAAGAAAATTAGACAAAGCATGGGCAGAATGAGATGACAATACTTTTTCTTCTTTTTTATTTATCTCTTGAAGTTAATGGAAATAATGTATAATAATAATTGTAAGTTAAAAAAAAAATATTCTCACCAAGCTCTTGTTTGTTGACTGACCAACTCCAATTATTAAAACCCCACTGTGAGTGGCCAAAGTTTATTAACTGCTGACGTTTTTGTTGCTGTTCATTGTCCTCGTCACATCTCATCTCACCTAGCAGATGCTCAGGCATCATTGGGTTGTCCGGCTGCAACAAAATAGATAAAATTTAATGTTTAGATTTGATTGTGCCAAGAAGTATAATGAGTATGATAATGCAATAACAAGTCACAGACTTGTTATTGCATTATTTCAAGTAACATGTTATTCCATGGTCAAACATGGCCAAAAGGCTCACAGGATAGTTCAGTTGTCGCATGATTTAACATTTATTTATTTGAACAGATCAGTACAAATACCAATTACCCTACTCTATATTCGTGTATGTTAACATATAATATTCTAATATTGTGTACTAATACTACTCGCTTGTTATATCAGGTACAAAACATCTACTTTTACAAATATAACCTAATGCAATAACTTTTAGGTTTTATTGGCGGTAATTACATTTTATTACGAATACATTCAAGAAAAGCAAAATCAACTGCATAGGCATGAGAAGCATTATTTGGAACACAATATAATAGGAAAATGTAATCTAAAACCTTAGTTTAGTTTCAAATTTCACCAACAGTCGTAACTGCCGTATGTCAGACATAAACGCGCTCTAATATTAACCTGTCTTTATTATAGTTTACACGACGGAAAACACCAAATTATCTAAATTTCTCGATTTATTACACTTTCTAACTGTTGCGTATTGGTAGAAAGAAGCAATTACCATTTTAATGCTGCAGTTAGCAACGGGGAATCCTGGTTTTCTTTGCATCGTTATTTACGTAACCACACGAACAAATTAAAATATATCCATGCGTGTATTATTATAGTATATATTGTATATTTCTTTATTTTTGTAAATAACTATATTTAAACACAACTTAATGTAAGTTGTTCCCAATTAATTGGCAAAATAAACCCCACAAATCCCAACAAAACATTTATTGACATTTTGCGCGGAACTTCCGGAAGTCCAGAGACAATTAGATTATTTGGATCATAGACCATAGTGATCACTTGTTGCGTGGCTATTTTTTTCATTAGTCGAATAATTATAATAGAAACGAATAAGTAATTATCATTTTTGTTTCATCTAATTTTCAAATCACAACAGTAACAGTAACACAGTCGCGGAGAACCTAACGGGTTACCGGGGCTCCGGCTCGACGTGCAGGAGAAGGAACGGGGTGGTTTTATTTGTAGTCAGTAAGAGTCTGACACTCCCTCCCGCCTCACCTAGACGGGAGCAGTCAGTCGATGATTATCCCCCCTTAAAAAAAAAACAGTAACACAATGCGTGCGTTGGTGCGCGTAGGCTACTTGACCGATACTAAATGAATCGCTCCTCGACTAAAACATAAGCTTAGTGCGCTTTTTAACTGCATTTGAATGTGGATGTTGGTCATGTTGGTAGTATTTTATCAGTGATACGAGATGACAGGATAACACTGACATCTGACATTTTTAAAATAGACAGATTAACATCGGGACTCCGTGCCGGAGGTGTACTGTTTCGGGAAACAATTTCTATTTATTTCTATTTTTCCTTTTGTAAGAAGATTCTAAATCGGGTTACGACCCACACACTCAAAATGGCACAATATTATACCGAAATTGACGGAAGTATGCTAGAAGGGGTAAATACAAATAGTGAAAATTTATGGTGTTTGATTTTAAATAAAAATATGATTAAATAACGAAAATAAAAAAAATTACAGGGTGGTCAAATACTTCGTACGTCTGTTTCATTGAGTGCAATTATGGGAATACCAGTGAAGGTGGTTAAGATACGAGCGAATCGCAGTAAGCCGGGCTTGGCGGCGCAGCATCTAGTTGGTAAACATATTTTGAAATATTACATTGTAATTTTTATACGATTTTGATACTAATTATAACAGGGCGGTGGCCATTGAAGAAGCCTTGGATTGAACAAGATTATAGTGTATACATTATAGTTATAATTTATTACCATTTTGTCTGTAATATTGTTCTTGTGACAGCAAAGTAATAGTAAATGGGTACTTACAATAATTTCGGATACTTTGTATGGTGTACAGCCTCATCTATTTTGAGAATTAACATGATGGAAAAAAGGTAGGGACCTAGACTTGAAATTTTACAAATAAATTGAACAAGCAACAGGTACTTATATTACATTACTGCTTAATATCTAGTTATAGGCTGTTGATGATGATAACAATGACACTATCAAGTTGCTCTCAACTTGACAGTGTGCATATTGTAGCAGTTTCCCAACAATTTTAATACATGATGCAATATTTTTTGTATTAAATACACATTTAATTTTGTTGTGTAATAATTTCATTGTATACCAACTGTTATGCTATAAATAAATTACTTAATATGACTATATTTTATGTGTATTGTATCATCAACAATAAGCACTGGCTTTAGATATTTATCAATAGAGAGATAAAAAACATTTAATGTAGAAAAAATCTAAATATTATGTACTCAACTAGTTTAAATTCAAGCCATGCTAGAGGCTCATATTCATTTAAAATAAACATAGAAAAAACTTACTAAGTACATAGTGAATAAAATCACTGTTTGTTGGGTGATTGGGTGTAAACCAGGGTTGCCAACCATACTCTAATTAGAGTATTATCCTCTATATATCATGCAGGCATACTCTATAATCTATAACACTGATAGAGGATACTAAAATTATCTTTTTTACACAATGTTTACTTAACAAGTGCCAGTCTGTAATAATATGCAAAAAAACTATGATCCGAATAAAAAGTCTACTATTTAATCTTAATTCAAAGTCAAAGTCAAAATCATTTATTTCAATTAGACCAGGAAGGCACTTTTGAACGACAAAACAAAATATTTAAATATTAAATAATAAGAAAAAATGACAGTCTGTAGGTCAGTCCTCTAGTGAAGCTATTTGCTCGTTCCAAAGTGTAGATTCCTATGGAGAAGAACAAGCAAGAAACTCCATAGGTTACTCTTTTTCAATCATGTTTACAATACAATTTATGTTACATTCTTTCGTTGAGTTCAATAATGTGAGAACAATGTAATACCAATATTTGGTCAAGGAGACGGAAAAAGAAAATAACCTTGAGGACAAGAAATTTAATACAGTCTGGAGCTGACGAGTCGTATTTGACAGCGCCCGTTCACGAACATGACACAAACGTCAGCACCGCCCAACTCGACCATGATGTAGGGAATCGAGCGATCCACTGCTCGTGCCACTGCCAATGAGACTACTGAAAAGCATGACAACTCCAAGCTGACACACATGCATTCTTCTAGTCTAATTTAATTTAGTTAGTTACAGGGCTCTCACATTTACAATAATTATATGAAGTTTTACAGTATACATTTTAATAAAATGGCTGTATTACATGATTGGAACTCATTGGAACATCAATGTTTTTTCGCTATCCTGTGGAGCCGGACCAGCCTGCCTCCAAGCATTTTTATCCTCTATGTAATCATCAAGTTTGTAGTATGCTTTTCCACATAATGTTTTTTTAATATAAGTATAATTTTAATTTTGACTCGTATAAGTGTTGTATTTCCTCCGAAATTTTATTATACCATTTAACACAGAATCCCAAAAAGGCCTTTTGTACTTTTGGCAATCTAAATAGTGGCTGACTTAGTCTATCCCTATGTCTAGTTTGATAGTGGTGTCTGTCAGACACTTTACCAAACAACTGTAGGTTTTTCCTAACATACATAATGTTTTCATTAATAAATTGACATGGAACGGTCATAATATTGATCTCCTTAAACTTTTCTCTGAGAGATTCGCGACGACCTAGGTTGTAGATAGCTCTGACGGCGCGCTTTTGTAAGATAAAGCAGCGTGTACAGCAAAATACCATACGTCATGATGCTATGGAAGTAACTGAAGTACACTAGTCTTGCCGTGTCTATGTCGGTTAACTGTCGGATCTTCCAGACAGGATAAGCTGCAGAGCTTAATCGTCCTGCTAAAGATGTAATATGAGGACCCCATTGCAATTTGTCATCTACAGTAATTCCCAGGAATGTAGTCTCGTTTACAAATTCTAATTTCCGACTATTTAATAATATGTCACATCCCTTACTTCCAACATTTGGCAGAACAAATCTAATACATTTCGTTTTCTTATCGTTTAGCACTAAGTTATTTATTGTAAACCAATGTTGAACCTTCATCAGAGCATTATTTACGTCGTCATAATTATTTGTTTGTCTATTTATTTTAAAAACTAATGATGTGTCATCAGCAAATAATACAATATGTGATTCATTTTGAAATAAATATGGCAAATCATTTATATATGTTAAAAATAGAAATGGACCTAGTATTGAGCCCTGCGGTACGCCCATAGACATGCTAGCACCATGTGAGTTTACTTTGTTTACCTGTACTTTAAGTTGCCTATCCTGAAGGTATGACTTTAACAGATTCAGCGATACACCCCGAATGCCGTAGTGTTCCAGCTTTAGCAATAGTGTCTCGTGTTCAACACAGTCGAATGCTTTCGAAAGATCGAATTCTGTATTACAGCCCCGTTTACAGTGGTCCAAAGAATTTTTTCAGCTTCAGAATATCATAAGTGATCATTTAAAAATTTGTTTGGTAGCTTTTTTAAAATTCAACTCTATTATGAAAAATACTCGGCCGAATCAAAGTTAAGACATCGAGCAATAGGCTAACCTGGAATTGTAATTAGACTGATGACACAAAACGTACGAAAAAATAATTATATAAAAGCATAAAATAAATGATACTCTTTTTTGTAAGTCCGTACTCTTTATTTACCTCCTTTAAAATCAGATATAATCTATTTCTTCTAAAAAAAGTTGGTAAACCTAGTGTGAACCTGTAATGCTTAAGGTATTAGATAATAAGGATGTTCAATGTTCATCAACAATTATTTGTTAGGTACTACGGCACATTGCATATGAAACCCAGAGCCATATTATCTCTGATACAAAATAGGCAAGCACCTAGGGTACAAAAAATTTGGCATTTAACCATACCATTTAATTATTGTACGGTCATAGATCAAAAATCCATTGCCACCGTAAGACTACTATCGGTTGCGCTGCAGCGCTTATACACACATGCACACGCATATTTTTGTCCGTGTGCGTACGCGTGCATGTGTTTATGTGTACGCACGCGTTTTTATGCACATTAATATGAAATTACTTACGCATTGCCGCGTGATCATCACTCACGGTGGCAGTGGACTTTTGACCTTTGACTGTACTTATTTCTTTGTACAAACCAAGTACCCAAGTACAATAACAGATCCTTATTTCTAATATTGTAGTTATAGCTAATCTGACATGGAAGTCATTGCGGGACAACATAGGCCATGTTCAGTAGTGGATGTCTTATGGCTGTGGTATGATGGTGATAATGAATCTGACACTATATTTGGTGTATAGGTCTCCGGTTAGTAGCCGATATGTGTGAAGGAGAACTCATCGGCGGTAACATCGGTTCCACTGAGATCAAGTTTAAGCCTGGTAAAGTGATCAAGGGTGGTCACTACGTAGCTGACACACGCACTGCTGGGTGAGAATGAGACACTAATACTGCTTAAAAGGTTATTTGCTTTCCATGTTTTATTTTGCTGATTAATTGTGCAGGTTTTATTAAGTATTTAGTTTTTTTAGCTGTATTCGCATCAGTGTATTATTACTTAAATGCCAATTTCTATATCTTGTGGTTTTGTTTTTGCGAAAAACTATTTCTTTATTAAAAACGTTCAATAACTCTTTCGATAAATGATAACTTACTAAAGCTTGAAAATAACGTGCAGTTTTGTTAGCTTAAATACACTACGTATTTCAAATAGTTTCAATCGAATAACTTTAAAACTACTATTGGTAATCTTAACCACTGTTTATTTTCAAACACTAATTATAATTAACTAGCTTCCGCCAGCGACTTCATCCACACAAATAGGTGAACTCTTTAAAATATCACATATCCTTTTTTTTTGTCAGTTCGGTGAGTCTTCTAATGCAGATAGCTCTGCCATGCGCCTACATGGCTGACGGGCCAGTGACACTGGACCTGAAGGGCGGCACCAACGCGGATATGGCGCCGCAGGTCGAGTACATGACCGAGGTGTTTAGAAACGCTATGAAGATGTTTGGAGCCCCATTCGAGCTGAGGGTGAATAGGCGTGGGTGAGTCTAGTGTACCTAATACTTTTGGTTCTTGAACAGATGTGCATTAAGGATTAAAATTAATAATCGATTTTAATTTAAAAATCGAATCCGGAGATTGATCCAGAAATATATATAAGGATAATGTATCTGTGTACTTTTCAAGAGGTACTGGGCCTTTAGCAACCTCACTAACATGGTAACAAGCAAGCCTTGTTTCAAGTCAGTATTCTATAAGGCCGTGGTATCACTCCGGTCGAGCCTGCCCAGCAGTGCAGTCTCATTTTTGTTACTCCTTGATTCTTTACCGTATAATTTTTGTTTCAGATATTTCCCGAAAGGTGGAGGTATTGTGACGGTGGAAGTAAATCCGGTGACCAAGTTCAAGCCTATTCAAATCACTGAGAGGGGGTATATCAACGCTATCTTTGGATGGAGCTTTGTAGCCGGCACTCTGCCTTTGAGGGTTTGTTACGATTTGTAATTTGTTTTTATTGTAATAAGACGCAGTTTACATATAAAATAGTATTGATTGATATAAAAGTCTATAAATTAAAGGTGACTTATGAGTCTTTCTTTTAAGCATACTAAGCAACAACGATACAATTTAAAAGTTGATCAAATGTCCAAAAACACCTAATATTTTTATCATTCTGTACAAGTAAGTCAACTTTAATATTCATGAATACAGTTGAAAGTATCAATATACGTATTGTGTACAGTGGGCGACTCAGATGAGCGACGGTGTGAAGGAGAAGATATGCAGCGTGTACCCGCGCACTCAGATCACGGCGCTCAAGGAGGACGACAACGTCGCGCCGCACAACTGCAGCGGCGTCATGTGAGGACTCCCGCACTACTGGACTTTACTTCACGCTTCTGTATTGAGGGGAGAATATCATTGAATATTCTCTCCCGCTCTGGGGTGATTCGAGTGGTGTCAGACATATACTGACTAAACACTACCCCGTTCCTACTCCAGAGGGCTGAGTACGCGTTTTTATACATTTAAAGTAATCGAAACGAGATCGCGTTCCGTGCTCTCATTGGTCGGCTCCAATAAACCAATCGATCGGAGCGCCAACCAAAGCCCTCTGCTTCGAGCAAGACCGTTGGCAAGTTGGGTGCCGCTATAATCGCCACGCTTTACTTTGAGTTTGCAGTTGTAAAGGCTAGTCTCTGTTAACTATGTATTTTTACTACAACGACGAAGGAGTTCCTTAATCGGCACCCGCGGGATGAGTATATACGGATGCTGACAAATATATAATAATATAATATAAATGTACATTTTGTCACAGGCTAGGAGAATTAGTCCCGCGTCATATTAAATGGAGAAGTCTAAAATTTATTTCGTAACATTTCATAGTTTGTTCACATCTTTGTTGTATTGTACTTAATAAAATTCTGGTGATAGGCTTTTCAGCAATGTTTGTATATGTGTGATGATGGTGTATGTATGGCAGAGTGATATGCGAGACGTCGACGGGGTGTCGGCTGGCGGCGGACGGGCTCGGCAAGCGCGGCGTGGACCCGCTCGACCTCGGCCGCACTGTCGGACTACTGCTGACTGAGGCCATACTCAGCGGCGTCTGTCTAGACTCACACCTACAGGTATCATACTACCCTTTTATAAGAGGAGAAAATCATCCAATAACCGCTCCCGCCTTGGGTGAGGCGACATTCTTAGACTGACTAAAAACCTCCCCATTCCTTCTACACCTCTACACCTCTGTCTCAATTCATATTTACAAGTAACACTTGTATTTATTTAATCAATCAATCCCCAAGCGGTCACCGATAACCGCTGTCCACTTACTCAATTATAGACCTTATTTCCGATATTAAGAGACTACTTTTGTGTGAACAAATGTAGCAGATTTTTCATAATCGGACATTTACGAGTTAGATACTAAAGTATTTGTACCCGCCTTGCTTACATAACAATATTCATTTTTAAGTCTACTAGACTAAGCTTTGAAAACAAGAAAGAGGACTCCATTTTGGTATTCTATTTGTAAGTTTCATCATGCACAATGTATGGACCGAAGCTTCGAGCTAATTAATATACATACAATTATTAAAATAAACCATTATAAGGTATTTTACTCAACCCTGCAACGAAATGTTGATAATTTGTTGATTGTTCCAGGACCAAGTGATACTTTACATGGCGCTGGCAGACGGCAGGTCCGCCATACGAGTGGGAGAGATCACCATGCACACCAAAACTGTTATCTACATCGTCGAGTCTCTGCTCAAGGTAGGTCCACATATTTATATTTTCTTCTATTTAAAACTATTAACTTTCATACCTTACACACTACAATTGAAATGTGAAGTATAAAACTTTTACTTTATTCCTACTCTGATGATATCTTCTGATTTATTTCTTTGCGGGAGCCAAGACATTCATCTCCCTGAGAACTCTGAACTTAATGGGGGCTAGTGGCAGGCAATTTTTTCACTAGATGGCGCTAGTTTCAATCTCTTTTGACCAGTAGGACATTGGCCAGTGCCACACCATTGGATGTTTAATATTTGACAGATGCAGTGATTGGCTAGAAGAATTTCATCATTTGAAATCATTTGGTGATCGAAAGTAGCCCCAATAGGGTAGATGCCTAATTATTATTTTAATGTCCGTCCGGTAGATTATTTCAAAACATTAGACTCGTATTTTTTATTTTCTTACAGAAACGAATACTTTGGCGATATATTGATTTGAAATTTCGCGTGACGTCACCTCTATGTACATTTTATACGTAGAAATGACGTTTTAGCCCCACTCCTAAACTTTGATTCGTTTTATCTAAGTATTGTTTTATTATACGACAAAACATGATCACCATGCACACCAAAACTGTTATCTACATCGTCGAGTCTCTGCTCAAGGTAGGTCCACATATTTATATTTTCTTCTATTTACAACTATTAACTTTCATACCTTACACACTACAATTGAAATGTGAAGTATAAAACTTTTATTTTATTCCTAATAATATTTTCTGATTTATTTCTTTTGCAAGATCCAAGTCAGTAATTCATCTCCCTTCAAACGCTAAACTTAATGGGGGCTACACAATTTTTTCACTAGATGGCGCTAGTGTCAATCTCTTTTGACCAGTAGGACATTGGCCAGTGCCACACCATTGGATGTTTAATATTTCACAGCTGCAGTGATTGGCTTGAAGAATTTCATCATTTGAAATCATTTGGTAATCCAAAGTAGCCCCAACAGGGTAGATGCCTAATTATTATTTTAATGTCCGTCTGGTAGATTATTTTAAAACATTAGACACGTATTTTTTATTTTCTTACAGAAACGAATACTTTCCACGATATATTGATTTGAAATGTCGCGTGACGTCACCTCATGTACATTTTATATAGAAAGACGTTTTATCCCCACTCCTAAATTTTGATTCGTTTTATCTAAGTATTGTTTTATTATACGACAAAACAAAAAATACGTGTCTAATATTTTTTCGTTACCTAACTTTCGGACTAATTAGATTTTTAATTTTCATACCCTGTCATCATCCCAATTGTTTCGGTGTTTGCATGGTTGTATCTACTGTAGATTGTGACATGCAGGAGTTGCAGCAGTCCATTAAAATGTTATCTATACAATGTACATTATATATAGCTTACTTTACTTACTAACTGCAGTTATTGATAGACTTTAGAACTAAGTGATTTCAATATAAATTCTGTTTATAGATAAACTTTGAAGTCACTCAGGAGGATAAGATGAATTTGATCCAATGTGATGGGATCGGAGTGAACAACAAGAACCCACCGCAAACCGCACCCCGTTAAATGGAAGAAAGAAACGAGACCTATGTCTGTTTTCACCAACCTATATCAACTTTTAACTAAGAGTTACTTAGCGGGAGGCACCTAAACTAACCCTTTGTACTGGTAGGTGTTACTTATATGTTAAACCAAAATGTCGTTAATTATCACCTATCTTAGTTTAGGGGTGCCTTAAATTTGATAGAGGTTGGTAAAAACGGGCTCTACAATTTACAAATGACATATTTGCTAACCCCAACATAATATATAATATTTTATATCTTTAAGGAATAATTGAAAGTTTTGTTGATGTTCTGAGCTTAGAACACAAACGTCTTATTCATAATAAAATATTACTTTCTTGCATACACGGTGGACAGCAGGTCAGTCTATCTTCAACTTTACTGTATTAAAATAAAGTCGAAAATTCTATTAATACGGGATCATGGGCAGATTGGATGTTGAATCAACAGTGTTGATATATGTATATGCCATTTGAAAGAGATTGATATATTACTTTACTAGCTTTTACCCGCGGCTTCGCTCGCGTCACAAAAGGATAAAAAGTAGCCTATGTGACATATACCAATACACACAGCGCCATCTATACCAATAATTTCGTTTTCCCTCGAGAATATCAAATTTTTCCGGGATAAAAAGTACCCTATTATTTAATCCAGACTTCTAACTTTACGTCTGCAAAATTTCAAAGCAATCGGTTTATTAGTTACGGCGTGAAAGTGGAACAAACAAACAAACCGTACATTTTATACGTAGAAATGACGTTTTAGCCCCACTCCTAAACTTTGATTCGTTTTATCTAAGTATTGTTTTATTATACGACAAAACAAAAAATACGTGTCTAAAATTTTTTCGTTACCTAACTTACGGACTAATTAGATTTTTAATTTTCATACCCTGTCATCATCCCTATTGTTTCGGTGTTTGCATGGTTGTATCTACTGTAGATTGTGACATGCAGGAGTTGCAGCAGTCCATTAAAATGTTATCTGTACATTATATATAGCTTACTTTACTCACTAACTGCAATTATTAATAGACTTAGAACTAAGTGATTTCAATATAAATTCTGTTTATAGATAAACTTTGAAGTCACTCAGGAGGATAAGATGAATTTGATCCAATGTGATGGGATCGGAGTGAACAACAAGAACCCCCCACAAACTGCACCTCGTTAAATGGAAGAAAGAAACGAGACCTATGGCTGTTTTCACCAACCTAAACCAACTTTTAACTAAGAGTTACTTAGCGGGAGGCACCTAAACTAACCCTATGTAGGTACTGGTAGGTGTCACTTATATGTTAAACCAAAATGTCGTTAATTATCACCTATCTTAGTTTAGGGGTGCCTTAAATTTGATAGAGGTTGGTAAAAACGGGCTCTACAATTTACAAATGACATATTTGCTAACCCCAACATAATATATAATATTTTATATCTTTAAGGAATAATTGAAAGTTTTATTGATGTTCTGAGCTTAGAACACAAACGTCTTATTCATAATAAAATATTACTTTCTTGCATACACGGTGGACAGCAGGTCAGTCTATCTTCAACTTTACTGTATTAAAATAAAGTCGAAAATTCTATTAATACGGGATCATGGGCAGATTGGATGTTGAATCAACAGTGTTGATATATGTATATGCCATTTGAAAGAGATTGATATATTACTTTACTAGCTTTTACCCGCGGCTTCGCTCGCGTCACAAAAGGATAAAAAGTAGCCTATGTGACATATACCAATACACACAGCGCCATCTATACGAATAATTTCGTTTTCCCTCGAGAATATCAAATTTTTCCGGGATAAAAAGTACCCTATTATTTAATCCAGACTTCTAACTTTACGTCTGCAAAATTTCAAAGCAATCGGTTTATTAGTTACGGCGTGAAAGTGGAACAAACAAACAAACTTACTTTCCGATTTATAATATTATTAGTAAGGATTTCTTGGTATGACGAGTTTTCACTAGTTCGCCGGAGAACGGAGATAAAAGCCTACAAACATGTAAAAATCTTTTGATTCCCGAATCGAGTCAAACGATTACCGATTACTTAAGTTTAAAACGTTTAAATAGGCAACAGTTAGGACCAAAACTTCATAAGAACGAGAGCTAATCCTCTATAACAGTCTATAACATAGGATAACGTCACGCCTTTTAATTCCCGAACTATTGAGTAGAGATGTATGGTACTGAAAGTAATAACTGCTTTCATTAGTTATGTGTTTCATACAATAAGAATTATCAAAATTTGAAGTGTGATTTTCTCAACAATCCCATGCTTTAAGTTTATGGTAATATAAACTATATATGTAAAAATGAAACCCGTTTCCCGTTGTCACGCCATAACTTGAGAATGGCTGGACCGATTTGGTTGATTTTTTATTATCAGGAGAAGGTTATGATAAAAAAAAACTTGAAAGTCTTATAGGAACGGGAGAAAATGGGATTGCGCATACGAAGTCGCGAGCTGAAGCTAGTATGATATAATATTCACGTAATCTAGACATCAGGGTGATTCTCCAAAAAAAAAAACCAAAAAATTAACGGCGTCATTATCCTCAAGCCACTGTTAACAATTTTGCTGATTAAAATACAAAGTTTAGTTTCAAAAAATTGAGCCATGTCACTGCTCTCACCCAATGCAATAAAATACAGATGCTAATAAGTTACTGCGATGCTTAACAACGCGGGAGGATAATGATTTGTTAAATAAAAGTTAAAGTTTTTTGAAGAAACACCCATAATAATTTCGTTTTCCCTCGAGAATATCAAATTTTTCCGGGATAAAAAGTACCCTATTATTTAATCCAGACTTCTAACTTTACGTCTGCAAAATTTCAAAGCAATCGGTTTATTAGTTACGGCGTGAAAGTGGAACAAACAAACAAACTCACTTTCCGATTTATAATATTATTAGTAAGGATTTCTTGGTATGACGAGTTTTCGCTAGTTCGCCGGAGAACGGAGATAAAAGCCTACAAACATGTAAAAATCTTTTGATTCCCGAAGCGAGCCAAACGATTACCGATTACTTAAGTATAGGCAACAGTTAGGACCAAAACTTCATAAGAACGAGAGCTAATCCTCTATAACAGTCTATAACATAGGATAACATCACGCCTTTTAATTCCCGAACTATTGACTAGAGATGTATGTTATGTACTGAAAGTAATAACTGCTTTCATTAGTTATGTGTTTCATACAATAGGAATTATCAAAATTTGAAGTGTGATTTTCTCAACAATCCCGTGCTTTAAGTTTATGATAATATAAACTATATATTATGTAAAAATGAAACCCGTTTCCCGTTGTCACGCCATAACTTGAGAATGGCTGGACCGATTTGGTTGATTTTTTATTATAAGGAGAAGGTTCTTATGATAAAAAAATATCCTGAAAATCTTATAGGAACGGAAGAAAGCGGGATTACGCGTACAGAAGCTAGTATGATATATATTCACGTAATCTAGACATCAAATACTTATAAATAAATGACATTTCATTTCTCTTATTGAATGTCCAACTTTTATACTAAAGTGCCAATGATAGGTTGGGGTAGATTGATCTGCTAGCCTGTGTTATTCGTTATCAATATGTCATAATGATTAATAACAGTACCTATTTTTATGAATAACATTATTAAGGCTTATTATTTAACAATATTTATAGTACAGAGAGTATGACAGTTCTCTATACATGGGTAGGTGGGGACGTCCCTTAACGCCGGATGGCACCTAACGCCAGATACTTGTATTATCTGGATAACTAATAACGCGAGCGATTTAATTTTTAGGGGGACGTCTCCCAGTGGCAGATATGAGATACCTAAGATTTTTAGTAAAAATTGAATCGCTCGTGTTATCTGTTATAGAGATAATATAAGTGCCCGGCGTTACGGGACTTCGCCCTATAATGATCGTGTTGCTGGCAAGAGTAAGGACCACCAAGTGTGCTGTGAATAAATTACAGGATAGCATAAAGCTTGTTGAACGGAACAGACTGATACGAAGGTTTAAATAGCCGTTTTCATTAACCACTTCTAAAAGGAGTAAGCACCTAAAAACTGTTTATACTTAGGTGTCCATGTACATTGGTTAAAACCACAACTGTCACCTATCTTAGTTAAGGGGTTCCTAAAATGTAAGAGAGGCTGGTGAAAACGGGTATTAGACTAATAGGTGTAAGAGAAACGAATTTGTTGGACGGTCAATGATAACTTATTTTGTTAATATGGCGCCACCATCGCCTTAAGTACGACAGACTATGTGCAATTTTTGTGTGATATATCTTACTACGCATTTATATAATAATCAACGGACCATACCTTTGTAATAGCGAAAATATCAGTATATATGACACTATTGGGTACTTGCCATCTAGTCAAATTCAATACTTATTTCGAACTGTCAAAAACGATAGTTGTCTATGAATTTTGTACGAGATTGTGTATTGTGACGTCACGTTTTTTAGAGTCAAACAACATACTCATTTCTTAAAAATTTGCTGGAAAAATACAAAAATTAAGTTGATAATATAATCAAATAATGAAAGTGAGATTGTTTGTTTTTTTTAATATTTTATTGTATTGAATAGCCGAAATAATTTATTTTTGTTTAAGGAAAGTACCCAATTGTGAGACATAGGTACTACATTGATTTTAATATACGAGTTTCCGCAACTAAACTATTTGAGGACGTTCGATAAGTTTCAAGCCACGACGGGATTCATAATCGTAATGAACAACGTTGAACTAGATTGTCGTATATTTTAATTAATGAGTGATTGTACACAGAGGCTACTTATCTATGTATCATACATTAAAAAAATACATCTCTTTTTCTACAAACTTGTACCACGACAAAATGTACTGCATTTATCGAGATATTTTTCTAATAATGTAACAATATGTTATTATACCTATGAATATGGTATGCAGGGCGTATGAGGCCTAAACTATGTAAGTCCATTTTAAGCAATGGATTCAATAATCTCTATATACTTAACGTATTTTATAATAAATGTCTAGAGCTTACTGTGGATCGCATGATATTCTAAATGGAAATGTCAGTGTTTTATAGTACATATTTAAAAAGTTGTAATTCTTTGATGTCGTAAAAAAGATTGTGTTATACTATTGTTGTTGCGAAATTCATTCAATTTTAGCTGATTTTCAGAGCAAAATACTAAATATATGTTGCAAGTGCTAGTGTAATTTGTTTTTATTGTAATGTTCAATGTTGTCTTTAACCTCTCAAACGTCGACGTACTATAATATTAAACAGGTATTTCACATACGAGTAGGGAAACCATAATATAACTGCTTGATGATATTAAAGAAATAAGTTTAAGATACCTTATCTATACCGAGTTATCTGCTATAAAATATTTCTAACTATGAAGCTCATTATTTTTCGATGTGAATAATTTACTAAGTTTTGATGACTTGCATTTTTCATACACAATTAACAGTGATAACGTGTCCTATTGCATTTAGACTAATGTTGTCTAAGGGGTCTCTGCGCAGGCTTCGGCCCCTCGTACGCCTCCCAAATGACCGGGAACATGTGCTCCTGTGATTAGTGACGATATAGTAGGTAATAATAATAATTAAGTGATTACGTTTTCAACGCTATTTCAAGATACAAATGCAATCTTTTTAATAATACGCCACGGTAACATTTTCAGGTCAACAGCTAACTTCACATTTGTAAGAGATGAGATGAAAAGGCACCGCAATCTTCTCTCTCTTTTTAACCGAAGGATTAGAAAATCTGGCTTCCTTGCTCTATGTATAATATCTTAATAAGTTACATACGGGTAGTTCTCATGTTGAAGCCAACGAAACGACATCAGAACACCGAGTATGAAGGAGTAGTACACACGGCCACACATCAACCTATACAAAACCAGTTTATCCTGGTGTCGCGTCGCATCATCTTTCCGCACATTTAACGTTCAGTTTATACTGGTTATGTAAAGCTCGATGTGTAGCCGTGTATACCTAGATATACGGCCCGCATTGGATGATAGTATTTAAGTTTATATACCTATGTCGATGTTTGACAGGTTTAATTAGAATAGTTTGTTAAACTGGCTTAAGTGCCCCATAGTGCTAATTTTATATTTTTTTACAAGCTTTAATTTTATATTCTGTGATCGTTATCTATGCCTGTGTCATCGACAATATAATAGTTATACTGTTTTCAGTGTTGTAGTGTAATTATGTATCAGCATCTGTAACTTATTCTTTAGGATATTAATAAATGTAAATTGAATATTCTTGTTTTATTTCTAGTATAGTTTAGTACTGACAAACATACTCTGTTTTCTTAGGTGCCACTTCATACCTGAAGGTTGGTCGTCAACTTTTTGAATTGGTCCTTGACATTGGCCTGGCAGGCGGAAAAGTTGTTCCACAGAGCTGATACCAGTCCACTCCCGAATATTACGCAGCCACAACTCTTTGTCACGATACTGTGTCTATAAGGCCGTAAATATTTTATGACGTAAATCTAGAGTTAGAAATGGATGCAAAGATATTATTGACGTTCAGTGTTATGTCATCGAAATAAATAATGTAAGTATTTATTTGAAGGAGTATCTAACTACTTTTATATGAAATATGTTGTGTGTGTATCCTCGTTGGATGTACAATGAGTAAATAAAAGTCCAAGTCGACTGATCTGATCATTTTAATAAACAGCTCAGCGCTCCACAATACCATCAAACACAATGATACATTCAAAATGTCTAACTATACATGTTACCTTCACAAACAAAGTTAATGTAAATTGTAAATTCCAGGGGTAGTGCGACTGTTGAATATTAGAACAAGTGCTACTAATAATAAAGGTTATATTTGTAAAAACTCATTCGGTCGTAGAAACAATAAAATTTACATCATTACAACCTGCTGTCTAGTAAAAAATGTGTGTACATAATAGCTACCAATATGTTATATAGGTACTCTAATAAATTAAACATTGCTGACTACCCCCCTCCGGCCTACAGGTATAAAAAGGTTATCAGTAGAGCAGCCTTTGAGGCTGATGTAATATTTGCGGGGCCCTCGCCCTCCCTACGTTACTATACATACTATGTAAATAGTACATAGTGCGCAATATTGTTATTCCTACAGAAGTCATTGTTTAGGAAGCCAAAGGAAAGTCTCAATGTAAAGTACAATTTGTACTCATATTCCAGAAATTCGGTCACCAACACAGACTCGACGTCGCACAAATTTCCCAAATATGTGATCAAAATGGCTAAAGTGAAAATAGCATCATAGCACGTATAATTATATATTTATTGTACTTAACATAACTATGTTTAGAAAAAAATGGAATCAAATTAGCGAATACTTTGCGTCGGTAACTTTTGAAACAGCTAAAAATGGTATGATGTTATTAATATATAAACTTATTATTAACTTTGACAGAAAACAATAACATATAAAATGATTTTTTTTCAATAAAAAAATACCTTAACGAAATATAGTATAAAAATTATTTTATTCAACATAAAAATATAGAAATTAATTTAGTCGCAGCGTTGCTATAATTTCAACAAATTCTTTATATATTACACATAGATCTGGTAGTTTATAACAGTGTGTGTGCGGACGATGAGATCAGGCGGTAGTTGGAATGTTCGCAGTTCTTACAATCGACACCTAACGGGGCCTGGCAGCCCGACTACACGGTACATCGCGCCATGCACTCTCCACGACATTGTATTTGTTCTACAGATTATTTATCCAATCAAACTTGAACGCTTTGTACGTAAATAAATGCTGTACGTTCGTATGACAAAGTTAACAATTCTTCATACACCTAACACATACAATTTACAAGAATATTTGTGACGCGTAAGTATAAATATTATTACTAGTTTCACATGTATCTACCTGACATCATCGTCTGATTATTTTATAGACATTAATGTTGAATACTATTAGATATACCAATGGAAGATACGACGGAAGTCTAATTAAATTACCCTTTCATTTATTTATTTTTACAATAGCAACATTTACGTACATATACAGGACATCACGTGGTGCAGGACCGTTTATAGACCGCGCCGTATACAAGTACATCGAGAGAGAACAATATGGATAAAGTTATAAACGAACCGACAGTGTTTTTGTAACGATTTAAAACCTGATGCTTAGGAAATAAAGATATTAAGATAAGATTGACATGGCTAACATCGAAGAAGGTGATTATGACACTACCTACTTATAATAGCAGCTCGACACAACACAAGATATAAAACAAACAAACGACGGTATGACACAGCCGGGTACCGCGCGGTCTGTAAACGGTTCTGACGTCAAACCTGGTCCCGAATGGGGTGACGTCACGCCATGGCCCGCCATTGTCGCGTGATAAATATGAATGTACTTAAACGGTACCGGTGTGCTTGTTGTTTGTGCTCTGGACGTGGCATACTCTGTGTCTATTCAGTCTTTTTTGACTTGCTCGTGTCTTCGCCGGCCGGTATTATCGCCGGTTGGTCTTCGTAGCTGTGGATTAATTGACAATATCAATTAAATTGTACATGTTTCTATAGATACAGATAGTCATAGTATTTTTTTTTTAGGGGGGAAAATAATTGTATGACTGCTCCCGCTTGGGTAAGGCGGGAGGGAGTATCAGACTCTTACTGACTAAAAACCACCCCGTTCCTTCTCCTGCACGTCGAGCTGGAGCCTCGGTAACCCGTTAGGTTCTCTGCGACCGATAGTCATAGTATAGTCATAGTATACCGACATTTCCCACTTAAGTAAGTAGCAATACGAGTTCGATAAGAATTCAATAGGTTTGAAGTAAATGTTAGATATAGTGAGTGGGTACTGACTTGAAGAGAGCGTTGATGTCGCCGCGCAGGAGCGCGAGACAGAGCGGCGTGGCGAGGCAGGCCGGCACCAGGTACAGCAGCGCGGGCTGCGCGTGCTTGAACACGTGCATCACCAGGATCGTCGCCAGCAGACCCACCACGTACGCCGTGAACGTCGCCCTGGACACAAACAAACTCATATTATTCACCTATAAATAAAAATGAACCACCGAAATGTATGTTCGCGCATTACACCCGAACTAATTAAGTAAATATAACAATAATTAAGTAAATTATTATTATTAAATTTAATATTTATTAATTCGAACAATTCCTGTTTTTTGTATTTGTTTTTGTTAGGCGTACAAAATTGAAAATTTTCAAGTGAAACAAGTGAATTTATTTCTGCAAATAGGCTACAAGGCAGCACTTTTACACGTCAATTTTATCAAGCGAACGATGAGGTCGACATTTCCTAACTGACTACTCTGAGAAGAAATGCCAAAACAAACTCAGACTCTTTTAAAGTCCAAGTTTCAATAGAAACACCCGAAGAAATGATATGTAGGCGAAGTTGAGGCGGGTCGTTAGTTGTATATAAAAATATTATTACGAGCTATGATTTGAGTACTATACTACAACGATAAGTAACTTTATGGTAACAATATGGCAATAATACAATGAGTTTCATACAAATTGCCAACCCATGACAAATGCATTCGTGTTAAATATAATAAACAATGAGAAATTCCAATTATTTTAATAAATTGTGTATAGTTATTTACTTGTATAATGCCTTGAAACAATTGAAACAGAACTTAACAACAAAAATATCATCTTTCGTATTATTTACAATTAAGTAATCTATCTGTACTATAATAGAACCGTCAAAAAGTGTGTTTTCACATCCTATGTACGGAACTAATTGACAGATTGTAATGAAACTTTTTGTTGTAGGTATAGCTTACAAGCCGAGGCAACATGTATAATTTGTTTTAGAAAGTGAAATAAAAACAATTTCGTAAACTCGTTATTCTACCTATACGGACGAAATTTCTATTATTTTGATACTAGTCTCTGTATCAAAATAAGAGAAAAGAACAAAGACAAGAAGAAAGGAAAGAAAAGTGTGGGAGAGCCATGCTTCGACGCGAATGGGCCGACTCGACCTGAGTATTAACTATGGCCTCACAGAATTGACATAACATAACATCACGCCTTTTATTCCTGAAGGGGTAGGCAAAGGTGTACATTATGCCTCTTAATGCCACTGTACAATGTAACACCCACTTTTCACTATTTATGTTATGAGTCCCATGTAGTGGGTGAGACTATTGTAGGTGAGACTAGTGTAGGGGGTGAGACTATCGCCATATACCGGGCACAATTCTAGACTCCGTGCTACTACTGAGAATTATTTTAAAAACCTAGTAATACTTTGCCCGACCCGGGAATCAAACCCCTTGCCCGGCAGTCGCTGAAAAACCGTGTTAAACAACATTTGAATTATGTAAGTAAGGTTACTGGAGAAGCCGCGGAGAATCCCCCAAAAGAACTAGGAACACACTTGATAATCCTGTAGTGTTACACGTAACCACGGGCGGTCGCTTATCATCAGATGATTCGCCTACTTGTTTACCACCCTCTATGAAAGTGAGTACTCTTACGTTTGATGGGAGCCTCGAAGGACTTTGCGACGGTGACCATGACGTTGGTGCCGAAGACCCAGAAGATGTCGTAGATGAACAGTCCACAGAGCAGGATGCAGCCGGTGACCACGTTGTTCAAGTGTAGCAGTTCCACTCCGTTCACCGCGAACGCGATGCCGAACAAGTTGTTCGCGATCCAGTGCTGAAGTAAATAGAATAGTTTAATTATTTTATTTATTCAATGAATACTTTGCCCGACCCGGGAATCAAACCCCTTGCCCGGCAGTCGCTGAAAAACCGTGTTAAACGACATTTGAATTATGTAAGTAAGGTTACTGGAGAAGCCGCGGAGAATCCCCCAAAAGAACTAGGAACACACTTGATAATCCTGTAGTGTTACACGTAACCACGGGCGGTCGCTTATCATCAGATGATTCGCCTACTTGTTTACCACCCTCTATGAAAGTGAGTACTCTTACGTTTGATGGGAGCCTCGAAGGACTTTGCGACGGTGACCATGACGTTGGTGCCGAAGACCCAGAAGATGTCGTAGATGAACAGTCCACAGAGCAGGATGCAGCCGGTGACCACGTTGTTCAAGTGTAGCAGCTCCACTCCGTTCACCGCGAACGCGATGCCGAACAAGTTGTTCGCGATCCAGTGCTGAAGTAAATAGAATAGTTTCATTATTTTATTAATTCAATCAATACTAGCTTCTGCCCGCGACTTCGTACGCGCAATCCCGTTTTCTCCCGTTCCTATAAGATTTTCAGGATTTTTTTTCTATCATAAGAAAAGAACCTTCTCCTGACGATAACAAACACAACAAAAAATATCAGCCAAATCGGTGTAGCCATTCTCAAGTTATGGCGTGACAACGGGAAACGTGTTTCATTCTTATATATATAGATTTTAACTTATAGGAAAATATTTTCACAATATCTTTCGATGTAACGCAAAAATAAAACGCGAAACACAACGCTTCGTTTGGTTTCCTATGAAGCCGTGGTGTCACTCCGATCAAAACCATTCGTGCTGAAGCATAGCCATGTGGATTAAGTGCACTAACAGGAAAGATATTACAGATTTTTTTTCAATAACTAATTAAATATAATCTAGCCTAAAAAACTAAATACCTAAGCAATTTAACTGAAATTTATTTTTATACGATTTTGTTTCAAACTAAGAATAGCATCACTTAGCACTGTTATAGATGCCCATAGCACTTCCTTAGAGTCTGATATTGAAAAACTTAAAAATAATTACTCAATGAAAATGGTGTAGCTACCTTCTTAAGTATGTACCAGCCTCCCATGGCTAGTGAGATGAATATACAGATGATGTCGTACGACGTAAACTTGTAGTTGACAATGTCCGAGCGAGTGTCGTCCTCACCGCGCGTGAAGTGGATGTGGTACGACACGTTCGGGATACACGCCGGCACCATGAACGAGATTATCGGGCTGTGAGGGACAAAATACAACAATAATTAGGTATACTATTGGTACATTTGGTTGTTTTATTGGATAAATCGGCAAACGAGCATTTGATAGTAAGTAATTGGTGCCCACCACACTAGAAGAGTCACTAATACGTTGCCAGCCTTTGAGGTTCAGGAATTTGAAGAGTGGTCATGGTGGGAGCCTCACTCACATAGAGATTTTCAGTGAGGCTCTGGTATCAATCCGGACAAGTCAGCCCATTTGCGCCGAAGCATGGCTGTCCCACACTTAACATTATTATTAAATTGTAAGCTGTATAAAATAATACTGCGTAATAAACATTCGAGTTGCCTTTGACATTATATTCTGCAGGAAACCTTGAGACTGACTTAGCATGTAATAAATAAATAGACAACCATCCATTACTACATAATGTACTGTTTTGTTACTAGCATTATGTCAGTACAATTATTTCTTTTTTCTATTCAATTTAGTATTGTATTCAAAACTGACTGGCTAATAAAAGTTAGCCTATACATTAACTAAGGGAGTAGACCGTAGTGCTAGGAAAGTACGTAAATACACAACACTACGATTGAATACCCGTACTTACATATTATACAACCATACAAACATACAATCAAGTATTGTACAGATAGTCTGTGGATTGATTCAATCACTGCGGCTAGTCTCAATTACTGTACCCCTGCATTCGTTATATTGGCACAAGTACCCTGATATGACACTGAACATGTGCACTAAGGACATCTCTTTGTTTCCTGACTCTTGATCAGTCGGAATATTTAGACTGGGGAGTGATATATGACCTTCTAAGTATCCATAATAAATGTTGAAATAAAAAATCTGTACTTGTTGTCAAATCAGAGATTCTAATTGTACTATTATTAATACTAAAGAAATCGAAATGCCCTAAAGTTAGAGTAACGATTTGTTTAAACTGACTATAAATACAATGACATATACATATATTACACTAGGCTTTTCATTGAATTCGTCGTCATTTCATTCATTCGTCATTATCGTATTTAGTTAATTTAGAGAGATTTTATGTTCATACTTTTTTTATTTAAAAAAAAAAAATTTTTTTTTTAATTTTTTAGTATTCCTAATATTGTAACAAATTTTTTCTGTCAGTTTGTTTTTACACTATTATTTTTCAATAAATATTATTTTATTCTATCATAATTTAAAAATAATGTATAGTTAACTAATACTATTGTGCATGCTGTGTTAGCCTATAAGTGATTATTATACTCGCACATGTGTTATATCTTTTATTAACAGTAATGAAAAAGTGTAATAATAATTGTTGGCTAACCTATTTAAATAAATAAATAAAATAAATTGAATAAACTGATATATCAAAAAGAAAAGTAGGGTAAATAATCCTCTTACCTAAGAAGATGGCTCAAGGCAAGAACTCCTAGGAAGAAGAAATATCCAGTTAGCAGCAGGTTGATGTACTCCTTGGAGAAGAACTGGAAAAAGATGTACAGTCCGAACAGCGCCGCCGATGCGATCAGAGGGAACATCAGCGCATCCTTGTTTGACATAGTCTCATGTCGCTCGCCCGATTCCTAGAGACAATAAAATAAAAAATAGTTTATTTCACTCCTTGAGGGTCGAAGTGTTATAGCTACGACAATTTATCTTATGCAGGAGTCTCTTATCAAGTGTATGTAATATCTGTGTTAAGCAACAAATTATTAAGTCCTGATGCATCTGTTTTTCTGTTTGTTTGTGATAATATCAAAAGTTAGGCTGCATTAGCAAATTATTGATAGATATTTATTTAGAAAGGTTTAAGTAATTTCATGAAGACTTCAGTGAAAAGCTAAGCCATACTGTTTTATAATATTATCATTATGTATTTTATTTCATGTTGTAATAAGAATAAAGAAACAAAATACGAAACTTATTACTTCTTAATATATGAGAATAAAATTGTATATGTATTATCTGTATTAAACAAAAATATATTAGGTACTTTATCATAATAATACTTTAATATTACTCATAATAATTATCTCTATAGAGATCAAAGTCTAGTAAAGACTGACACTGCAAAATACTAGGTATGAATCATGAGTGATTTAACTTAACAACAAACAGTTATAAGTTATAAGGGGTCAGTTGCACAGGTTGTTGATAAAGGAAACTATCAGACATTTTAGTATGGACTTTGACTCAAGTAGCATCCAATGGACCTGCTTTATTTATTAGGAAACTTAATATTATAATACTGTGAATAAAAGGATAAACATAGAAAAAAAATTGCTACTTGAATAAGCCATACATCTAATAAGTTAAATTCTTTATAAACTATGTTCAAAAAACAGACTTCAACCCCTTTTTAATACACTAAAATCTTCTCTTAAATGTAACAAACACTTTACTGAAAGCCGCATCAAAATCGATTCAGTTAATCGTGACATAATCAATCACTAACATACATCTCAAACTGCGAACATCCTTCTTTTTTGAAGTCGGTTAAAAACTAGTAACTCCTGCACGATTTCACTCATTGCTCGGCTCTTATTGATCTTAGCATGACATTTTCTAAACTAGAGCCTTCATTGACTGGGATAATGAACACAAAAACAATTATTCAATTCATACGAGTAGTCCTAAATTAGCGCATTCAAACGGACAAAACTTTCAGCTTTATAATATAGTACAGAAGTATAGATAAGTATAACTTTAAACTTTAAAATGTTGCAATATTTTTGTTATTTATCGGTATATTATGAGCACAGACACTGAAATCACCAAGCACGATACAAGTGAAAGTAATTGTTATCTTAGAAATATAAATCTTTGTTATTTTTTCTACTTCTTACTTCATCACTGTAGTCTAAGTAACAATTGTCCTTATTTTATGCAACATGATTTATATGTTAGGTGTTTAAGTTAAATAACTTATTGATCTTAGACTCCACATTTGGGTTTGACTAACAAACGATGATACAATGATTTCTATCAAAACCCTTAGTGTAAGTTTGTTTTAAGTTTATTAACTTCAAAACGAGGCCGCATTCAGCATTCTTGATTGGTTAGTTTATTAGAATCAACCAATGCTGTCATTTCAATCTCGTTGATCGTAAATCAAACTCATGCTAAGCCATCAGAAGTATCAGAGATGAGCTAGGGCTGCTATCTGTTTAGATTCCTGGGTTTGTCTTAATGATTTCTATAATATAGTTTACATTAGAAGATGTCTCCGAGTAGGAGTTCATGTGAGTAGGATTAATCATGATAAAATTTGCATGGTAAATACAAAAATAAATATCTTACTGAATTACTAAGTTTGCAGTTACTCTAAGGCAGTGCTTTTCAACATTTTTCATGATGCGACCCCCTTGACTCCTAGATTTTTTTTATCATGTATGTATGTGTATTTTACAATATTACCAATATTCATTCCATAAGACGTATTTATGGTCTCCATGATTAGGATTCGGATATAAGTAAGTACATACTTTGGATTTTTTTCGGACGGAAAACACATTTTACAATTACTTAGTAATTGTACATTTGTTAAAATTCACTTACAGTAAGAGAATCTGACACATTATTATTCTGATAGCTAGTTATTCTTTTCTTTTAGTTAGAACCTGTATTAAGTCATGTGTGTGTGATATCAATTTGATATAATGAATGGACTGCACACTTGGTGCGGTGGCTGGGCAACCAGCTGCCGTGCAATGCGTCGCGGGTTCGATTCCCGCACGGAACAACACTTTGTGTGATCCACAGATTGTTGTTTCGGGTCTGGGTGTCATTGTGTTTGTGAACTTGTATGTTTGTAAACGCACCCACGACACAGGAGAAAATCCTAATGTGGGGCAACATTTATTTTTAAAACAAAAAAAAAAACAAAAGATAACAGATTATTTAACACTTAAAATAATTTACTAACTGGAATCAAAATAATTTAATATTGTCTACTCATTAAAAACCTGAATTTGACAAGGAAGTATTCAATTGAATATTAGATACATGTATATCCTTAGAACGCATGGAGATAACAAGGAAAATCTATATATTTTCCTTATAATCTGTAAGAAGTAAAAACATTTTTTTTTTGAATTGAGGTAACAGCATAGATTTTTGGAGCAACTTAAAAAAGTTACTATGCTACTCGAACAAGTACTTATTAAAACATGTTATTTTACTATAATTGTCATCTATTTATTTATTAAATTTGCAAGGTCTTCCAACATTTGACAGCAACATATGCCACGATGGTAGAACGTGTATCTTTCTTATTGGATCCAACTAATTCACATAACTATGAAATAAAACTAAGTGCTATCACCAAATCACTATGATCAAACTCACCTTTTGCTCTTTCAGGTATTTTACTGATCGGAAAGCCCCGAAGAATATCGGTAACACAGCCATAATCACTAAACTCAGGTATGCAATCGCAATACCTTCAATACTCGTCGGTGGCTTGTCTGTAGCATTTTTTACGGTTTCCTTAACTGCTTCTTCAATGTTTATAAGGTTCTCCGTCGCTGATTCTGCCATTTCGTATAAATTATTTGCCGAAATGCGTGGCGAGATGGCTTTCGCACTACGGACCAAGTTTGACAAGAAAATGACAAGTGTACAGTTGCCCAGTTGGTTTTCTAATGTTGGCTAATGACAACTAAGAAATTAGAGTAGTACTTTTTCGCAATAATCGGTATTTATTTAATTAATTTTCATCATTTTTAATTTATTCCTTATATCATTTATTTTCGTGAAACTATTCAATATTTGTGGAAATTAGTTTTTATTAATTTTACTTTTATGTCATATTTTATTTTTATTATGTCAATGTTGGTACAACATTCCATTCTTCCTTTCCATATGTCAAATCAAAATAAGTCAAACAAGACTTTCGTTTTTTAGGTTTTCGCGAATAATAAATTATTTATTTCATAATTGTCATGTATTTGTGCTTTATTACTTTTACTTTACAGTATATATCATAAGAAGTGCTATTTAATAGATTAAAATGGAAGTTTCTGGTGGTGCCGAGGAAGGTTTCGTGAGGGAATGGGCCCCTTGTTCGCATATTTTAAATTTAATTCCGCCTAGGATACAGACTGGGATATTTTCGAACGAGCTGTGCCTAACATGTGTGGATGCGGTGAGCGAGTACATAGCCCTGGGGACCAACGTTGGGCTGGTGTATTGGTACGATCGGAAGAAAGGCAACATTCAAAGACTGCGTTGCGAGGTAAGAGAGAGTTCTGTATGGCCTGTGTCAGGGACGGGGTTTCCCCACTATACCTTAATTGGGCCCTAGCACGTACTACACACAAGTATCGATTTCTACGGATATTATTAATTATTTGAGTGGGTAGACTAAAATAAAATTGTTTTGAACATCTTTTATTTACCCTTTTAGGACCAATGAGTTTATAGCTATCTTATCAATACATACACATAATTATTGAAAGAGGAGAGAGAATCTTGAACAGGAGATTTTGAAAGAGATTTATCTATTCCATTACTTTTTCTTAGAGGACTCTAATTAGCCATAATAAGTCCCTCAAGAGCACTTCTTACATATGAAATTTTTTATATAGGTTTTACTTATAAAAATATAGAGAAAGGTTCATAAGAGAGCATGAATGGTGGCACAACCTTACTCTGACCTTCATGGCTTACCAATTTAACAATAATCCGTGACCTTTACATAAATATTATTAATAACTTATTGACCAAACAACTTTGTTCTTTAACTAGCTTCTGCCAGCGGCTTCACCCGCATTCCATTGGGAACAAGTGATCTATGTGTTATTCAAGGCCATAATCTACCTCAGTTCTAAATTTTGTCTCAATCTCTTTAGCCGTTTTGAAATAGTCCGAACAGCGCCGCCGATGCGATCAGAGGGAACATCAGCGCATCCTTGTTTGACATAGTCTCATGTCGCTCGCCCGATTCCTAGAGACAATAAAATAAAAAATAGTTTATTTCACTCCTTGAGGGTCGAAGTGTTGTATCTTATGCAGGAATCTCTTATCAAGTGTATGTAATATCTGTGTTAAGCAGCAAATTATTAGGTCCTGATGCATATGTTTTTCTGTTTGTTTGTGATAATATCAAAAGTTAGGTTGCATTAGCAAATTAATGATAGATATTTTTTTAGGAAGGTTTAAGTAAATTCATGAAGAATTCAGTGAAAAGCTAAGCCATACTTTTTATAATATTATCATTATGTATTTTATTTCATGTTGTAATAAGAATAAAGAAACAAAATACGAAACTTATTGCTTCTTAATATATGAGAATAAAATTGTATATGTATTATCTGTATTAAACAAAAATATACTAGGTACTTTATCATAATAATACTTTAATATTACTCATAATAATTATCTCTATAGAGATCAAAGTCTAGTAAAGACTGACACTGCAAAATACTAGGTATGAATCATGAGTGATTTAACTTAACAACAAACAGTTATAAGGGGTCAGTTGCACAGGTTGTTGATAAAGGAAACTATCAGACATTTTAGTATGGACTTTGACCCAAGTAGCATCCAATGGACCTGCTTTATTTATTAGATAACTTAATATTATAATACCGTGATTAAAAGGACGAAGACAAAAAAAATTTGCCACTTCCGTAAGCCATTTATCTAATAAGCAAAATTCTTTTATAAACTATGTTCAAAAAACAGACTTCAACCCCTTTTTAATACACTAAAATCTTCTCTTAAATGTAACAAACACTTTACTAAAAGCCGCATCAAAATCGATTCAGTTAATCGTGACATAATCAATCACTAACATACATCTCAAACTGCGAACATCCTTCTTTTTTGAAGTCGGTTAAAAACTAGTAACTCCTGCACGATTTCACTCATTGCTCGGCTCTTATTGATCTTAGCATGACATTTTCTAAACTAGAGCCTTCATTGACTGGGATAATGAACACAAAAACAATTATTCAATTCATACGAGTAGTCCTAAATTAGCGCATTCAAACGGACAAAACTTTCAGCTTTATAATATAGTACAGAAGTATAGATAAGTATAACTTTAAACTTTAAAATGTTGCAATATTTTTGTTATTTATCGGTATATTATGAGCACAGACACTGAAATCACCAAGCACGATACAAGTGAAAGTAATTGTTATCTTAGAAATATAAATCTTTGTTATTTTTTCTACTTCTTACTTCATCACTGTAGTCTAAGTAACAATTGTCCTTATTTTATGCAACATGATTTATATGTTAGGTGTTTAAGTTAAATAACTTATTGATCTTAGACTCCACATTTGGGTTTGACTAACAAACGATGATACAATGATTTCTATCAAAACCCTTAGTGTAAGTTTGTTTTAAGTTTATTAACTTCAAAACGAGGCCGCATTCAGCATTCTTGATTGGTTAGTTTATTAGAATCAACCAATGCTGTCATTTCAATCTCGTTGATCGTAAATCAAACTCATGCTAAGCCATCAGAAGTATCAGAGATGAGCTAGGGCTGCTATCTGTTTAGATTCCTGGGTTTGTCTTAATGATTTCTATAATATAGTTTACATTAGAAGATGTCTCCGAGTAGGAGTTCATGTGAGTAGGATTAATCATGATAAAATTTGCATGGTAAATACAAAAATAAATATCTTACTGAATTACTAAGTTTGCAGTTACTCTAAGGCAGTGCTTTTCAACATTTTTCATGATGCGACCCCCTTGACTCCTTGATTTTTTTTATCATGTATGTATGTGTATTTTACAATATTACCAATATTCATTCCATAAGACGTATTTATGGTCTCCATGATTAGGATTCGGATATAAGTAAGTACATACTTTGGATTTTTTTCGGACGGAAAACACATTTTACAATTACTTAGTAATTGTACATTTGTTAAAATTCACTTACAGTAAGAGAATCTGACACATTATTATTCTGATAGCTAGTTATTCTTTTCTTTTAGTTAGAACCTGTATTAAGTCATGTGTGTGTGATATCAATTTGATATAATGAATGGACTGCACACTTGGTGCGGTGGCTGGGCAACCAGCTGCCGTGCAATGCGTCGCGGGTTCGATTCCCGCACGGAACAACACTTTGTGTGATCCACAGATTGTTGTTTCGGGTCTGGGTGTCATTGTGTTTGTGAACTTGTATGTTTGTAAACGCACCCACGACACAGGAGAAAATCCTAATGTGGGGCAACATTTATTTTTAAAACAAAAGATAACAGATTATTTAACACTTAAAATAATTTACTAACTGGAATCAAAATAATTTAATATTGTCTACTCATTAAAAACCTGAATTTGACAAGGAAGTATTCAATTGAATATTAGATACATGTATATCCTTAGAACGCATGGAGATAACAAGGAAAATCTATATATTTTCCTTATAATCTGTAAGAAGTAAAAACATTTTTTTTTTGAATTGAGGTAACAGCATAGATTTTTGGAGCAACTTAAAAAAGTTACTATGCTACTCGAACAAGTACTTATTAAAACATGTTATTTTACTCACCCTCTATGAAAGTGAGTACTCTTACGTTTGATGGGAGCCTCGAAGGACTTTGCGACGGTGACCATGACGTTGGTGCCGAAGACCCAGAAGATGTCGTAGATGAACAGTCCACAGAGCAGGATGCAGCCGGTGACCACGTTGTTCAAGTGTAGCAGTTCCACTCCGTTCACCGCGAACGCGATACCGAACAAGTTGTTCGCGATCCAGTGCTGAAGTAAATAGAATAGTTTAATTATTTTATTTATTCAATACTAGCTTCTGCCCGCGACTCCGTACGCGCAATCCCGTTTTCTCCCATTCCCGTAGGATTTTCAGGACTTTTTTCTGTCATAAGAACCTTCTCCTGACAATAACAAACACAACAAAAAATATCAGCCAAATCGGTCTAGTCATTCTCAAGTTATGGCGTGACAACGGGAAACGTGTTTCATTCTTATATATATAGATTTTAACTTATAGGAAAATATTTTTGCAATATCTTTCGATGTAACGCAAAACAACGCTTCGTTTGGTTTTCTATGAAGTCGTGGTGTCACTCCGATCAAAACCATTCATGCTGAAGCATGGCCATGTGGATTAAGTGCACTAACAGGAAAGATATTATAGTTTTTTTTCAATAATTAATTAGATATAACCTAGCCTAAAAAACTAAATACCCAAGCAATTTAACTGAAATTTGTTTTTATACGATTTTGTTTCAAACTAAGAATAGCATCACTTAGCACTGTTATAGATGTCCATAGCACTTCCTTAGAGTCTGATATTGAAAAACTGAAGAATAATTACTCAATGAAAATGGTGTAGCTACCTTCTTAAGTATGTACCAGCCTCCCATGGCTAGTGAGATGAATATACAGATGATGTCGTACGACGTAAACTTGTAGTTGACAATGTCCGAGCGAGTGTCGTCCTCACCGCGCGTGAAGTGGATGTGGTACGACACGTTCGGGATACACGCCGGCACCATGAACGAGATTATCGGGCTGTGAGGGACAAAATACAACAATAATTAGGTATATTATTGGTACATTTGGATGTTTTATTGGATAAATCGGCAGAAAATCACTTGATGGTAAGTAATTGGTGCCCACCACACTAGAAGTCACTATTACGTTGCCAGCCTTTGAGGTTCAGGAATTTGAAGAGTGGTCATGGTGGGAGCCTCACTCACAAAGAGATTTTCAGTGAGGCTCTGGTATCAATCCGGACAAGTCAGCCCATTTGCGCCGAAGCATGGCTGTCCCACACTTAACATTATTATTAAATTGTAAGCTGTATAAAATAATACTGCGTAATAAACATTCGAGTTGCCTTTGACATTATATTCTGCAAGAAACCTTGAGACTGACTTAGCATGTAATAAATAAATAGACAACCATCCATTACTACATAATGTACTGTTTTGTTACTTGCATTATGTCGGTACAATTATTTCTTTTTTCTATTCAATTTAGTATTGTATTCAAAACTGACTGGCTAATGAAAGTTAGCCTATACATTAACTAAGGGAGTAGACCGTAGTGCTAGGAAAGTACGTAAATACGCAACACTACGATTGAATACCCGTACTTACATATTATACAACCATACAAACATACAACCAAGTATTGTACAGATAGTCTGTGGATTGATTCAATCACTGCGGCTAGTCTCAATTACTGTACCCCTGCATTCGTTATATTGGCACAAGTACCCTGATATGACACTGAACATGTGCACTAAGGACATCTCTTTGTTTCCTGACTCTTGATCAGTCGGAATATTTAGACTGGGGAGTGATATATGACCTTCTAAGTATCCATAATAAATGTTGAAATAAAAAATCTGTACTTGTTGTCAAATCAGAGATTCTAATTGTACTATTATTAATACTAAAGAAATCGAAATGCCCTAAAGTTAGAGTAACGATTTGTTTAAACTGACTATAAATACAATGACATATACATATATTACACTAGGCTTTTCATTGAATTCGTCGTCATTTCATTCATTCGTCATTATCGTATTTAGTTAATTTAGAGAGATTTTATGTTCATACTTTTTTTATTTAAAAAAAAAAAATTTTTTTTTTAATTTTTTAGTATTCCTAATATTGTAACAAATTTTTTCTGTCAGTTTGTTTTTACACTATTATTTTTCAATAAATATTATTTTATTCTATCATAATTTAAAAATAATGTATAGTTAACTAATACTATTGTGCATGCTGTGTTAGCCTATAAGTGATTATTATACTCGCACATGTGTTATATCTTTTATTAACAGTAATGAAAAAGTGTAATAATAATTGTTGGCTAACCTATTTAAATAAATAAATAAAATAAATTGAATAAACTGATATATCAAAAAGAAAAGTAGGGTAAATAATCCTCTTACCTAAGAAGATGGCTCAAGGCAAGAACTCCTAGGAAGAAGAAGTATCCAGTGAGCAGCAGGTTGATGTACTCCTTGGAGAAGAACTGGAAAAAGATGTACAGTCCGAACAGCGCCGCCGATGCGATCAGAGGGAACATCAGCGCATCCTTGTTTGACATAGTCTCATGTCGCTCGCCCGATTCCTAGAGACAATAAAATAAAAAATAGTTTATTTCACTCCTTGAGGGTCGAAGTGTTATAGCTACGACAATTTATCTTATGCAGGAGTCTCTTATCAAGTGTATGTAATATCTGTGTTAAGCAACAAATTATTAAGTCCTGATGCATCTGTTTTTCTGTTTGTTTGTGATAATATCAAAAGTTAGGCTGCATTAGCAAATTATTGATAGATATTTATTTAGAAAGGTTTAAGTAATTTCATGAAGACTTCAGTGAAAAGCTAAGCCATACTGTTTTATAATATTATCATTATGTATTTTATTTCATGTTGTAATAAGAATAAAGAAACAAAATACGAAACTTATTACTTCTTAATATATGAGAATAAAATTGTATATGTATTATCTGTATTAAACAAAAATATATTAGGTACTTTATCATAATAATACTTTAATATTACTCATAATAATTATCTCTATAGAGATCAAAGTCTAGTAAAGACTGACACTGCAAAATACTAGGTATGAATCATGAGTGATTTAACTTAACAACAAACAGTTATAAGTTATAAGGGGTCAGTTGCACAGGTTGTTGATAAAGGAAACTATCAGACATTTTAGTATGGACTTTGACTCAAGTAGCATCCAATGGACCTGCTTTATTTATTAGGAAACTTAATATTATAATACTGTGAATAAAAGGATAAACATAGAAAAAAAATTGCTACTTGAATAAGCCATACATCTAATAAGTTAAATTCTTTATAAACTATGTTCAAAAAACAGACTTCAACCCCTTTTTAATACACTAAAATCTTCTCTTAAATGTAACAAACACTTTACTGAAAGCCGCATCAAAATCGATTCAGTTAATCGTGACATAATCAATCACTAACATACATCTCAAACTGCGAACATCCTTCTTTTTTGAAGTCGGTTAAAAACTAGTAACTCCTGCACGATTTCACTCATTGCTCGGCTCTTATTGATCTTAGCATGACATTTTCTAAACTAGAGCCTTCATTGACTGGGATAATGAACACAAAAACAATTATTCAATTCATACGAGTAGTCCTAAATTAGCGCATTCAAACGGACAAAACTTTCAGCTTTATAATATAGTACAGAAGTATAGATAAGTATAACTTTAAACTTTAAAATGTTGCAATATTTTTGTTATTTATCGGTATATTATGAGCACAGACACTGAAATCACCAAGCACGATACAAGTGAAAGTAATTGTTATCTTAGAAATATAAATCTTTGTTATTTTTTCTACTTCTTACTTCATCACTGTAGTCTAAGTAACAATTGTCCTTATTTTATGCAACATGATTTATATGTTAGGTGTTTAAGTTAAATAACTTATTGATCTTAGACTCCACATTTGGGTTTGACTAACAAACGATGATACAATGATTTCTATCAAAACCCTTAGTGTAAGTTTGTTTTAAGTTTATTAACTTCAAAACGAGGCCGCATTCAGCATTCTTGATTGGTTAGTTTATTAGAATCAACCAATGCTGTCATTTCAATCTCGTTGATCGTAAATCAAACTCATGCTAAGCCATCAGAAGTATCAGAGATGAGCTAGGGCTGCTATCTGTTTAGATTCCTGGGTTTGTCTTAATGATTTCTATAATATAGTTTACATTAGAAGATGTCTCCGAGTAGGAGTTCATGTGAGTAGGATTAATCATGATAAAATTTGCATGGTAAATACAAAAATAAATATCTTACTGAATTACTAAGTTTGCAGTTACTCTAAGGCAGTGCTTTTCAACATTTTTCATGATGCGACCCCCTTGACTCCTTGATTTTTTTTATCATGTATGTATGTGTATTTTACAATATTACCAATATTCATTCCATAAGACGTATTTATGGTCTCCATGATTAGGATTCGGATATAAGTAAGTACATACTTTGGATTTTTTTCGGACGGAAAACACATTTTACAATTACTTAGTAATTGTACATTTGTTAAAATTCACTTACAGTAAGAGAATCTGACACATTATTATTCTGATAGCTAGTTATTCTTTTCTTTTAGTTAGAACCTGTATTAAGTCATGTGTGTGTGATATCAATTTGATATAATGAATGGACTGCACACTTGGTGCGGTGGCTGGGCAACCAGCTGCCGTGCAATGCGTCGCGGGTTCGATTCCCGCACGGAACAACACTTTGTGTGATCCACAGATTGTTGTTTCGGGTCTGGGTGTCATTGTGTTTGTGAACTTGTATGTTTGTAAACGCACCCACGACACAGGAGAAAATCCTAATGTGGGGCAACATTTATTTTTAAAACAAAAGATAACAGATTATTTAACACTTAAAATAATTTACTAACTGGAATCAAAATAATTTAATATTGTCTACTCATTAAAAACCTGAATTTGACAAGGAAGTATTCAATTGAATATTAGATACATGTATATCCTTAGAACGCATGGAGATAACAAGGAAAATCTATATATTTTCCTTATAATCTGTAAGAAGTAAAAACATTTTTTTTTTGAATTGAGGTAACAGCATAGATTTTTGGAGCAACTTAAAAAAGTTACTATGCTACTCGAACAAGTACTTATTAAAACATGTTATTTTACTATAATTGTCATCTATTTATTTATTAAATTTGCAAGGTCTTCCAACATTTGACAGCAACATATGCCACGATGGTAGAACGTGTATCTTTCTTATTGGATCCAACTAATTCACATAACTATGAAATAAAACTAAGTGCTATCACCAAATCACTATGATCAAACTCACCTTTTGCTCTTTCAGGTATTTTACTGATCGGAAAGCCCCGAAGAATATCGGTAACACAGCCATAATCACTAAACTCAGGTATGCAATCGCAATACCTTCAATACTCGTCGGTGGCTTGTCTGTAGCATTTTTTACGGTTTCCTTAACTGCTTCTTCAATGTTTATAAGGTTCTCCGTCGCTGATTCTGCCATTTCGTATAAATTATTTGCCGAAATGCGTGGCGAGATGGCTTTCGCACTACGGACCAAGTTTGACAAGAAAATGACAAGTGTACAGTTGGTTTTCTAATGTTGGCTAATGACAACTAAGAAATTAGAGTAGTACTTTTTCGCCATAATCGGTATTCATTTAATAATTAATTTTCATAATTTTTAATTTATTCATTATATCATGTAGTTTCTTGAAACGATTCAATATTTGTGGAAATTAGTTTTTATTAATTTTACTTTTATGTCATATTTTATTTTTATTATGTCAATGTTGGTACAACATTCCATTCTTCCTTTCCATATGTCAAATCAAAATAAGTCAAACAAGACTTTCGTTTTTTAGGTTTTCGCGAATAATAAATTATTTATTTCATAATTGTCATGTATTTGTGCTTTATTACTTTTACTTTACAGTATATAAATCATAAGAAGTGCTATTTAATAAATTAAAATGGAAGTTTCTGGTGGTGCCGAGGAAGGTTTCGTGAGGGAATGGGCCCCTTGTTCGCATATTTTAAATTTAATTCCGCCTAGGATACAGACTGGGATATTTTCGAACGAGCTGTGCCTAACATGTGTGGATGCGGTGAGCGAGTACATAGCCCTGGGGACCAACGTTGGGCTGGTGTATTGGTACGATCGGAAGAAAGGCAACATTCAAAGACTGCGTTGCGAGGTAAGAGAGAGTTCTGTATGGCCTGTGTCAGGGACGGGGTTTCCCCACTATACCTTAATTGGGCCCTAGCACGTACTACACACAAGTATCGATTTCTACGGATAATATTAATTATTTGAGTGGGTAGACTAAAATAAAATTGTTTTGAACATCTTTTATTTACCCTTTTAGGACCAATGAGTTTATAGCTATCTTATCAATACATATATATAATTATTGAAAGAGGAGAGAGAATCTTGAACAGGAGATTTTGAAAGAGATTTATCTATTCCATTACTTTTTCTTAGAGGACTCTAATTAGCCATAATAAGTCCCTCAAGAGCACTTCTTACATATGAATTTTTTTATATAGGTTTTACTTATAAAAATATAGAGAAAGGTTCATAAGAGAGCATGAATGGTGGCACAACCTTACTCTGACCTTCATGGCTTACCAATTTAACAATAATCCGTGACCTTTACATAAATATTATTAATAACTTATTGACCAAACAACTTTGTTCTTTAACTAGCTTCTGCCAGCGGCTTCACCCGCATTCCATTGGGAACAAGTGATCTATGTGTTATTCAAGGCCATAATCTACCTCAGTTCTAAATTTTGTCTCAATCTCTTTAGCCGTTTTGAAATGAAAAATTAATTAACAAAAAGTGATGTGGTTGAGAATGCCATATGGTATTAAGTCTGTTTTATATGCCATTATTATTTTTAACACTGAAGTAAATAAATTACTAAGTTGAATTGTAATTGATTTTTTTTTTAATTTGTAACTTGTAAACTACAGAGAGTGAGAACATGTATGTAGAGATAACAAAAGCAAACGGACAGATAACAGCTATTTAGATTTCTTTGTAGACACAATTTATTTGTGTAGATAATTACAATATCTTTCCTGTTTTTGTTGTATGATGAAAATAATAATTACACTTTGTAATTTTTATTGACTTCATATTTTCTTCATTTTTGCTAAAATTGAAACTTAACACACAACACGAACATTAGGTATTTTATAAAAAATCTATTTAATAATAATTCTTGTAAATAATGTACTTGTATATTTTATTTTGTACTCTTCTGCTAAACTTTAGAAAATGACTCATAATATTGGTTATTGTTCACAACTATTGTTGTAACTAGTAACTGGCCCACTGATAGCCATACAGATTTATCCATTATTTTTTAAAGACTTTCGTGAGTAATCCTGTAATGGCTTGATTGAATTACTTGTCTTTTTTTTTACCCATTTGTGATGAAGCACAAAATTTCTTTTACTTTAATATTATGATCTACATCTGAAACAATTGAAACATCGATTTTATACATCTTCATTACACTTCCTGACAAATGTAACTGACAGATCACATTTTAATAATAATATCTGACTATCAGTAGAAGTTTAAAAACCATGAAACGGGAAGTCACCATATTATCACTTTATAATTATAAACATAGCCAAAATAAGGTCTAAGTTTGAAAAAAAATCAGCATAATTGTGATTAAACTTTTTTTTTATTACTTTTTAGGCATCAACATCTCCCATAACGTATGTGAAGATAGTTAGCACAGTGGACTATATGGTGGGTGCAGGCAATGCTGCCGGCCAGGTCAATGTTTTCCAAATACCTAAGGAGCATCCCGAGAATGTACCTGAAACATTTAAACCTAAAGTTGAACCCAAAGTTGAAAGGTGAGTGTCTTTCAAGTGTGTTTATAGTATTTAAAAAGATAGCAGGTCCAGTTGACAGTTTTTCCTCTCTAATATAACACCGCTAATAAGGTTCAATACTAATCTAAACTTAATCAAAATTGGTTTGCAATTTATGATATAGTAAACCATATTCATAATTGTATAAGATCTATTAAGTTTTATAGAAACTGAAAATAGAATCATACAATCAGCTGTATAATTAATAAATAATAATTAATTAATCTAAATTAATTATAAGTTGTACCCGTGAACTTATTAATAGATTCTAAGTGATAACTTTGCTGTGATTTATTGATTGTTATGTAATACTTTGTATAAAGAGGTAAAGTGAATAACGAAAGTGCATGAATCTAATCCAATCTGTCTTTATTTAATAGACCTTCAGTCTTTCACATTTTATATTAAAGTTGATAATCCAGTGAATGAATTAGACAGGTAGTGGTAGTTTGATATCTATCGATTGTTTGGGCTATATTCAAGCGTGATTGGTGCAATGTATCGCCGGTTTGATTCTCGTACGCAAAGCTGCTTCGAATTCGAGTATTAATGTAATATTTTAATTATGTACAGTAGGGGACAGATCTACCTGACGCCTTAGTACGAGTTTGTTTTACATTTAAAGTATTCGAAACGAGTACGCGTTCGACGCTCTGATTGGCCGGCGCCAATGAACCAACCAATGAATACTTTAAACGTAAAACAAACTCGTACTAAGCCCTCTGATCGTTTTATTGCTTAAATCTTGAATAAAATTTAATCCCTAGCCCTTGAATGTCTTAACTAATAGAAAAGCGATAACATCGCAGCTTAATCACGCAACCCGTGTAATCCATTAGACAATGGTGCGTTTGATATGTTGTGCCGACCTGAGCCGGTGCCAGCCCCGCCCACCACTCCGCCCCTCATTAGTCAATTCAAGGTCATGGGGCGGGGCTAGAAAACGGATATCATCAGGTGCAAGCGAACATTAACTTAGTAGTGGTCAGGCGGATGTGCCCCCCATTGTACTTACATTTAATTTTGTGTTGTACTATCTACAACCTCCATGCTAATATAGCTCTAATTCTTTTTGAAATACATAGTTATTTTACTAGTGCATTTTGTACATTAATGTACTGCTTTACTTTGTAGTTTTGTTGTCACAGTACTTACATTATTATGTTGTGGTCATGTGAACCTGACCTATATGTATAGGTCATGCGACCACAACCTTCCACAATTGTTTATAATAACTGATACATTTTATATGCATCATTTAAAATCTCAAGATATTTTTACATTACAAGGTTTTCATGTAATTTTCAGTGTACTAGCGCCATCTATGAGAATGTTTGTGTCAACGTTTTGTTTTTATTTATTTATTTATTTTATTTATTTTACCTGTAATATCTCTATAAAAAAGTTAAATAAAAAGCGGGTTTAGTCACATGCGTGAATTCATAAGAGCTTTATTTCATAATAGAATTGTCTTTCAGTTACTCTAATCGAAACATTCAGGGTAAAACTTTTGTTTTCTCCGCTTACTGAGAGTTGAGACCCTATTAGATCCATTCGTGTCGAAGCGTGGCTCTCCTAAATGGCAACCCTTTAAGTATGTCAATAAAAGAAAGTCAGTCAATAATTACCTAATTTATTATTCTTTACATTTACAGATACACAATAGGAGATTTACACAAAAGTAAAATTACAGCGATAGAGTGGTCCAAAAACGGAATGAGACTGTTTTCCGGCGACAAGAACGGCGTCATTATTATGACTGAAATAGATTTCTATATGGTGAGTGTTCTTTTATTTATTCTTGTTATCATTCTGTTATGTATTTACAAAGCAATTATGATGATATAACAAGTATAAGTGGTTTTAAAAACATATAACGTACACCAGTTATGTTGTGTTAGTAAAACCAAAATACGCGCTATTATTGAAAAAGGAATAATATAAATGTAATAGTTGCCGGTTTCCAGTATAGATATCTACATGAAAGGAATTATATAAAGTGCACTTCGTAATTGTTTGAATAAACGACAATTAGTTGTCATCAGGTAGTTAAAACAGACACACACAAATAACTGTTAATTCCACATAAGTTAACATGCATTATCTTTTTAAAACTTATAACTAAATTCTGCACAAATCTAGAATCCAATTCGAGACCCAGCATGGTATACCTAGTATGAGTAATGTGTATCCATGTAATAGAAGATGAGTCTGTTGCTATATTTTTGAAAAACCCGGGAGTCGAACCTGCAAACCCGAGGACCTAGGTAGTCCCTGTATTATAATTATGTATAACTAAGTCGGTCAAAGTCACGAGAAATTCACAATATTTGTTGTTATATCGTGAGACATAATAAATTAACTTAAAAACGCGGGTTGCTCACGTGAACATACTGAGTGTCGTGCAGCCTACTCCATTTCGCGACCGCGCATTCTGTTCATGAGGAAGAACCCCTCTGTGGTTCGAAACTAGTACAGCTTTTCTCAGTATATTCACGTGAGTAACCCGCGGTTTTTAGTTAATCACAGTATAACATAATACAATGTAACACCAACTTTTCTCTATTTATTTTATGAGTCCCATGTAATAGGGGGTGAGCCTATTCCGGACTCCGGGCTACTAATGAGAAATAAAAAAAAACCCAGTAATACATTGCCCGACCCTGGAATCGAACCCGAGACCCCTTGTGCCGGCAGTCGCACTTGCGACCACTCGGCCAACGAGGCAATCACACTATATTAATCACAGTATATCAAATATAAAATATATTTTTTATTGTGGACAGTAATTTATAATTATGTCTGATATAATAATGGCCGGATATATTGATAATATCATGGCTAAATGTGGCCAATGCTCTGAACAAGGCTATTTAGGTAAGATCTCGTTTATGGGCCATGGTTTTTAGGCATGTGCTTTGTACTTACGTTTTTATGGCATAAATGGTAAGTTATCGGACATATGCAACAGCGGGTGAAGTACAATAGCATTGCCGGACTGTTGGGAGTTAAGGATTTTAAGATTGGGACATTGGGGATGGGGGGGGGATTAAAAAAAAGAAATATATTTTTAATTAATTGATTTAAGAAAGGTGATATGAATCCAAAACGTAAAAGTAAAACGAGAGAGTCATTGAGATGTGAACAAAGGAGACTACTAAAAGATGCTTTATGTAAATAGTTTGTTTTTCCTATAATTCATTTTAATCTTAAGTTGTATATATTTAATTTAGTAATATTTCGTTTTAATTTTATTTAAGTAATAGTTGTAATTTAAGTTTTTTATTGGGGACTACTTGAATCAACTCAATTCACCTAGGTGAACAAAATGGAATAAACCAATTAAACATGCCAAGTCCACCTTTCGAATATTTGAAGTCAATTCCTTATACTTTGTAGTAAATATTCCAAAGCCTTTTTTGTTCAGTGGCACTCACGACCGTCATACTAAGTCGATATTAAAAAGTTACATTTGTGTTACAGCACCTCTGTAAATCAATGGAGATTGTGAACGAGGAACACGAGATAGTACAGATGAGTTACTATCAGAACAGCTTGTTGGTATCGAGTATGTATCGGACCATCGTCTGCGAGCGACGCGACGGACGCTGGCATGTCAACCAGCTTGGCAAGAAGGAACGAAAGAGGTGAGCAAATAATTTATAGACTGACAACTTTTACAGTAGACGAGAATCTAGAACAAATTTCCGTGCGTTTAGGCGTTTTTGCCACATACCCATTATTTGGAAGCAAGTATAACATACATCAGATATAGCTCATACATCAGATCTACTAAGGTTTAAGGGAAGTGCAAACCGTTGTTTTTTCTCTGTTACATCTGTCTCTGTCTAACTGTTCTCTGATATATATATCTTCTGATTTATTTCGTTGCGGGATCCAAGACAGTTATTAACGTCCCTGGCACGGGCTGGACTTCAGTGTTCCGGTTCCTTGTTCCTTTCTAACTACTGTCCGATTTCTATAATTATTTCTTATAAATCATGTAAGACGACATCTGATACGGAATCATCCGAAGGAAGATATATTTTTATACAACGATTAATCGTACTTATATTATCCCGTGCAGCCTGTGTGCCCTGGGCGCAGTGTTCCAGTACTCGTACGCACGCGGCGGACCCGTGGCGGCATACTGCGCCCGCCCTGGACTCAGGCTGTGGCGGGCAGACACACAGGGGAACGTACTGCAGACACTACTGTTTAAGGTGATACACTCTATACTTTATTACATACTGCGCCCGCCCCGGACTCAGACTGTGGCGGGCAGACACACAGGGGAACGTACTGCAGACACTACTGTTTAAGGTGATACACTCTATACTTTATTACATACTGCGCCCGCCCCGGACTCAGACTGTGGCGGGCAGACACACAGGGGAACGTACTGCAGACACTACTGTTTAAGGTGATACACTCTATACTTTATTACATACTGCGCCCGCCCCGGACTCAGACTGTGGCGGGCAGACACACAGGGGAACGTACTGCAGACACTACTGTTTAAGGTGATACACTCTATACTTTATTACATACTGCGCCCGCCCCGGACTCAGACTGTGGCGGGCAGACACACAGGGGAACGTACTGCAGACACTACTGTTTAAGGTGATACACTCTATACTTTATTACATACTGCGCCCGCCCCGGACTCAGACTGTGGCGGGCAGACACACAGGGGAACGTACTGCAGACACTACTGTTTAAGGTGATACACTCTATACTTTATTACATACTGCGCCCGCCCCGGACTCAGACTGTGGCGGGCAGACACACAGGGGAACGTACTGCAGACACTACTGTTTAAGGTGATACACTCTATACTTTATTACATACTGCGCCCGCCCCGGACTCAGACTGTGGCGGGCAGACACACAGGGGAACGTACTGCAGACACTACTGTTTAAGGTGATACACTCTATACTTTATTACATACTGCGCCCGCCCCGGACTCAGACTGTGGCGGGCAGACACACAGGGGAACGTACTGCAGACACTACTGTTTAAGGTGATACACTCTATACTTTATTACATACTGCGCCCGCCCCGGACTCAGACTGTGGCGGGCAGACACACAGGGGAACGTACTGCAGACACTACTGTTTAAGGTGATACACTCTATACTTTATTACATACTGCGCCCGCCCCGGACTCAGACTGTGGCGGGCAGACACACAGGGGAACGTACTGCAGACACTACTGTTTAAGGTGATACACTCTATACTTTATTACATACTGCGCCCGCCCCGGACTCAGACTGTGGCGGGCAGACACACAGGGGAACGTACTGCAGACACTACTGTTTAAGGTGATACACTCTATACTTTATTACATACTGCGCCCGCCCCGGACTCAGACTGTGGCGGGCAGACACACAGGGGAACGTACTGCAGACACTACTGTTTAAGGTGATACACTCTATACTTTATTACATACTGCGCCCGCCCCGGACTCAGACTGTGGCGGGCAGACACACAGGGGAACGTACTGCAGACACTACTGTTTAAGGTGATACACTCTATACTTTATTACATACTGCGCCCGCCCCGGACTCAGACTGTGGCGGGCAGACACACAGGGGAACGTACTGCAGACACTACTGTTTAAGGTGATACACTCTATACTTTATTACATACTGCGCCCGCCCCGGACTCAGACTGTGGCGGGCAGACACACAGGGGAACGTACTGCAGACACTACTGTTTAAGGTGATACACTCTATACTTTATTACATACTGCGCCCGCCCCGGACTCAGACTGTGGCGGGCAGACACACAGGGGAACGTACTGCAGACACTACTGTTTAAGGTGATACACTCTATACTTTATTACATACTGCGCCCGCCCCGGACTCAGACTGTGGCGGGCAGACACACAGGGGAACGTACTGCAGACACTACTGTTTAAGGTGATACACTCTATACTTTATTACATACTGCGCCCGCCCCGGACTCAGACTGTGGCGGGCAGACACACAGGGGAACGTACTGCAGACACTACTGTTTAAGGTGATACACTCTATACTTTATTACATACTGCGCCCGCCCCGGACTCAGACTGTGGCGGGCAGACACACAGGGGAACGTACTGCAGACACTACTGTTTAAGGTGATACACTCTATACTTTATTACATACTGCGCCCGCCCCGGACTCAGACTGTGGCGGGCAGACACACAGGGGAACGTACTGCAGACACTACTGTTTAAGGTGATACACTCTATACTTTATTACATACTGCGCCCGCCCCGGACTCAGACTGTGGCGGGCAGACACACAGGGGAACGTACTGCAGACACTACTGTTTAAGGTGATACACTCTATACTTTATTACATACTGCGCCCGCCCCGGACTCAGACTGTGGCGGGCAGACACACAGGGGAACGTACTGCAGACACTACTGTTTAAGGTGATACACTCTATACTTTATTACATACTGCGCCCGCCCCGGACTCAGACTGTGGCGGGCAGACACACAGGGGAACGTACTGCAGACACTACTGTTTAAGGTGATACACTCTATACTTTATTACATACTGCGCCCGCCCCGGACTCAGACTGTGGCGGGCAGACACACAGGGGAACGTACTGCAGACACTACTGTTTAAGGTGATACACTCTATACTTTATTACATACTGCGCCCGCCCCGGACTCAGACTGTGGCGGGCAGACACACAGGGGAACGTACTGCAGACACTACTGTTTAAGGTGATACACTCTATACTTTATTACATACTGCGCCCGCCCCGACTCAGGCTGTGGCGGGGCAGACACACAGGGGAACAAGTTTTAACCTGTATTTTCCTTTTTCCAGGAAGCCATATCAAATCCGTTGACAGTAGCTGAATTATTAAACCCCCGGCAACAAAAGCCGTCACCGACCGGTCGCGAGTACAACCTGGGTCCACTACACGTGTTCCGGGAACATTTCCTTGTCTCACACAACGATCAGATCCTCTACATACTGGACCCTCGCTCCCTCACCGCTGTAGCTGTCGTTGATGACTTCAGAAAGTAAGAATCCCTTTTTTATTTATTATTGTCTGTATTTTCATCCACAGTTTCACACACAGAAGACACGTACTCTGACCTATCTATTACCTGAACTGTGTTTTCTAATAGACTTTTGTTCTTTGAAACTCATAACTTCTATAGCAACAAATAGAATCAAGTCAATAGCTTCAAGAACCATTCAGTGCTCTCATAATTGATAAAAATATTTATCATAGAATTAAATTCAAAAGTGTTTCTCCAATAAAATTATATGACGGTGGAAAAATCAGTAAAATGTTGTAAACATTTGAAGTTTATGCAAAATATTTTTTTCTATGAATACGATAAACTGTACCTACTTGAAGCCTTGAAACTTCCCACAGGATCCTGTCAGTATCGGTGCACAAGGACGAGGTGTGGGTACTGGAGGGCGCGCGCTCATTGGTCCGCCTCGCGCATGCGCCCGAGCCCGCTGTCCGCGCCGCAGGTCTGTTCGCCAAGACATAATACACCTCATACTTCTATTCTATAGACCCCATAGACCCATTACCCCACATTGCATGGTCATTGGTCATCCCGTGCAAACACTATGTTCATATGTCTGTATCCAAAACATTATTTAATACTACATTTTTGCTGCCATATATATTGTAATACACATTTACAATTCTTTTGTTATATTGCCGCTCAGTAGATGGCGCTAGTGGCGCAAACTCATTTTAAACTTTTCTCGTTGGATATATTTTATATCCTGATTAATGTGTCGATTTTGGTAACTACTTTTATACGATACAGAAATATGAATCACATTTATTTTAAATACAATATCACAGATGATTAAGATATGGAGTGCTCAATTCATATAACGTTTTATGACTATACATTCCATGTGAATTGGTATCAATCAACCAATGTCTAATCTGTTAAATGATACATTCAAATTCGTACTCCATTTCTTGTCCAATCTGTGACAGTAAGTAGCATGTTCCAGTACAACGCTCGATGTTTCTTTATTGTTGCACGTACTATGCAAACTATATGTTGTTCGTTTCACATAAAACTATACTCAAGTGCCTTAATATAAAGTTCAAATTGGTTCAAAATTGATTTCTACTTAAGCATTGTTTTTAAGATGTTAGTTGTAAGTTTTATTGACGTAGTACTTATTTGTGTATAAGTAAGCTTGAATTTATTTTTGTAGTATAAGAATTATAATTCAATTGCGTCTTTATTTTATACGCAATAAAGGCGGTTTTTGTTTGTGAGATTCCATCAAACATTTGTTCAGTACAGGCCAACTAGATGATAAAGTAAATTCAACTTTATTTTTTTCTTGTAGTAGTTAATTTTTAATGGCAGTAGTGAATCGAAAATGTCGTCTTGTTGGTCGTACATCAGTCATCAATCACTTTTATTTAATTTAAGATAGTATAGTAATATTTTTTAAAACTAAAATAAGTATAGGTGTAACTAGTCGCCATATTTAATTACATGTATATAATAATTAACACTTTTACAGCTGATTTACTAGAGTCGGCTATATTTTATACTATCAACAGCATTCAGTGCTAATAATATTAAATTAACTCGTAGGTATAAATCAAAATTACAACTCTAATATGTAGGTATTAGCTACAAAATTCCTTGCAGTAGGTAAACCGTTATTTCATGTTCCATCATGTTATTTCATCTTTAATTCATAATATTCGTACAATAATTTCGCTTACATACAGTATTGATTTTCAATAATGAAGTACATGTACTTATTTTTTTTATTTTTTTTAAATGAAAACTCAGTTCTAAGCACTTGAATCTAACCCTAGTATACGTGACTTAAAACTTAAATAAGTTCTTACATTTTTCGTTCTACAATTTACTAAAAGTATCTTTATTTATTTAAACTTGTAGTGGAAATGATCATACAGTTAAGCGCGTACACGTACGCAGCTCAAGATTATCAGCCCTGAGCTGCGCTGAGCTTGACTTGAAATTAGTCGAGCACCCTCGATCAGTTACGAGTTAACCGTATATTCTAACGAATAGTAGGTTTATCTCATGATAGCCATTATACTAACACTTCATATTTATTATTACTAGGCGTTTTACATATACATAAGAAGGGTCTTTATAAAAGTTGAAATTTTAAGTTAGTTTTCCATGGACGATAATATTGGTCATTCCAAAGGAATAAGACTCAATATTTTATAACAA